CTGCTGCCTCCTCCTGGGGCTGGGCACCGCCACCCTCCTCCTCAACCGGTAACCGGGCGGGCGGGGGAGCCGGGTGCGGGCGGCGCGGCGCCTTCTCACGCAGCGGCTTTTCCTTCCCCTGTGTCTGTAAGGTATCTTCATGTTTTGATGATCTTCTGGTCGTTCGTGGCTGGGGTCGTCACCTTCTACTGCTCATTGGGACCGGATTCCCTCCTGCCCAATATTCTGTTCACAATAAAATATAAGCCCAAGGTAAATATGTCTGTGAAGAGTCTTGTGCTTCCTTGAAATATGATAAGAATTTATAGGGAGTAGCAATTATTTTCTAATCCTAGCTGCTTTCCGAAATACTGTGCGTCAGTACGGCTCGTACACTCCTGCTGACAGGTGTGGCAAATAAATGATGATTAAGAGTTTGAATTCTTACCGTGTTCCTGCACAGTCCCATCAGATCCACGTATGGCTGCAAGGCCGCTTGTTGGAGTGTCCATGGGTGGATGTTTCCAGCTTCCCTCATTGTACATTTTGAGCATTTGAGTAGCAAGCAGTGGAGAAACTATGTTGTTGTCTGCTTCTTTAATGGGGCTTTTTCTTTTCTAAAGATGCCCTCCTTCTGACCAATGGTGCGTCTTCTGTGCTCACTATAATCAAAATTCTCTAAGCCGTGCTGCACTTGAAAGAGAAAACTGTTCCCAAAGTAAATTGCTCTTTTCTAACTTAAAACCATTCAATGTAGAATTTCATAGGGCTAAAAAGGTATAGTTGCAGTAGTTCAAGGCTGTGTGTAAGGGAGAGAAACCATCTGGGTTTATTACTAGACTGAATAATGTACAAGGAGATGAGTGGAGATGTGAGAGGATATATGTGTCCTCTCACTTCGTTTTAGCAGAAGCAATTTTTCTTTTTGGTCCAGCTGTTTTTAATACCATGCCTTGTTACCTTGTTTTCCTGTTGGAAGAGCAAGTTTGTCTTTATTCAGATCTGTGTAATAGGATGCTCTAAAAGGAAATTTCACAAATGTGTTGGTATATTAATAGAGGCATCATTTTGGAGAATGTAAACTTGCCTAAATCTCTTAGCAGTTGGAATTGCCGGAGCTGTTTCCCCATGGTCACAGTTGTGCTGTATGTGGCAAGGTCAAATGCAAGAGGCACAGGTAAATTACCTACGTGGCACTGGTAAGCTTAGTACTATTGCCATTTTGCACCTCACAGTAGGAAACTGTCAGTTGCACATTTTTACATAAACTTCTCCATGCTCTCCTCCAGACCTACTTTGCTTCTGGAAAACTATCAGCCATGGCTGGATCTGAAAGTGCCTTCCAAGGTTGATGCGTCGCTTTCGGAGGTAATTGGTGCATTGTTTCTTTAGTACATTAAAATTCTGTGGGTTTCTATTATGTGTCTTTGAAACTTTTTGCTTCTGGTTCAGAGGTGGTTCAGATGTACCTCGCAGGTATTTTAACTTTTTCAAGTGGAAATCAAATCAAAAGAAGGTTTTCTGGGAGCAGTGAGCCAAGGTGGCCTGCTTTTAAACATGGACTGCTTGTGTAGCAGTGCACCTAGAACATAGAAGAAATGTCTGTGTAAACTGGGAAAAATAATGGAAAGAACAGTTACAATTGAATGTGTCTGAGTCTTTAAAAAAAAGTTAAAGATTTCAGCCTGCTTAGCTTCTTGGGGTTGAGGGTAAAAGATGATTTGCTCCAACTTCTGTTCTGTGATGAAGATGGTAATTTGGTGGTAGGGAGCCTACAAGAAAGGTGGAAAGAAGCTATTACAAGAGCATGGGGGAAGACAAGGAGAAATTGATTCAAACTGATAGATTAGATATTAAGAAGAAATTCTTTGCTATGAGAATAGTGAGGCGCTGGAACAGGTTGCCCTATCCCTGCAAGTGTTTAAGGCCCGGTGGAATGGATCAGCCTGGCCAAGTGGAAGGTGTCCTTGCCCATGGCAGAGGGTTGGAACTTGATCATCTTTGAAGTCCCTTCTAACCCAAACCATTCTATGAATCTATTTAAAATCATGAGACAAAGCTGTAACAAAATCTGTCTAAAAAAAGAAATTGCTTAATTTACTCAAAGAAGAATAATACAGATATCTTTTTTAGTAAGACTGTAAATCAGGAATTTTGTTTTGTTATAATGTCTTTAAAAAGGAGCTGTTGGAAGAGCAGTTTTTCTTTGGGCTTGTTTTTATGTTTATTTCCTTGATTAGTAATTGATGAAATATATTAGGAGCTAAACAGATAAACTTTGTGGTTTTTTAAGCTAGGAAAATACACAAGCATATACATAGATTAATATCCATTTGTTTAGAATTCCAGCTTTGGAGTTCTATGGTAGGAGGTTGAACAACTGGCATGGCAGAAGTTGAGAGGATTTTTGTGTGTCAGTTCTTGCAATTAACAGCATCGTGCATGAAGTCAAAGCCATGTGTGTCTGTGTTATAAGCTAGCACTTTAGTTCAGCTCTGTGAGATGTTGTCCCAGGCATGGGCCACTGCAGGAGTGGGAGGAGATTGAAAACCTTAAGGAAGGCATGGACAGTTGAGGAGTGCTTATTAAAAAGAATAGATAATAACTTGTTGACTTCCTCTTGTTGAATAAAGTCACTTCTTCTGTGATTTCAGAAGTAAACAATTATTCTTTGAAAGTTACTTAATGTATTTTTTAAAATAAGTTTAAGTGTATTTAAATGATGGTATTGCTGATTAGAATTTCTATAGACCCTTGCTTTAATAATATAATATAAAATAAATGTTTCTATGCATTTAACATATTTAGGGTACCGAGCAGCTGTGGCAGTCTATCAAAGGATGTTGTAAATGCCGAAGAACTGGAAATTTTTTTGTTTGACTTAAATGGGAATTTGATGCTGTAAAGGTTCTTTGTAGTATCTCTTTGTAAGAGATATGAGTAGATACCATAGTTATCTTCTTGGCATTTTGTATGTGATTGCTGTAGTTCTGCTTTTACCAAAATAGTGGCCTTTTCTTTGCTGTTACTTTTCACTTCAGTGGCGTGTCCCAGGCTTTGCTTTGTTTAGCACTGCAGATGTGGGTTTTGTGTATCCACGCCCATACTTCTCATTCCTTTACCTCCTTTGTGTTCTTAACTGCAGCAAGCTGGGGTCACCCTCCTCAACCCAACCTCCTCTGGGTTTGATGGACCCAAGCAAGTAGTCTGAGCCACCTTTTTTACCTGTGTTGAACAGACACTATTTGCGATGAGAAATGTCACTGCATGGTTCCTCATTGCAACTCTTCTCTACTGGTTAAAGGGGTAGCAAGGGGTTCTGCCCACACCATATTCCTCTTGACCATCTGCTCTGAGGATGCAGCATGTAATGCTGGCCTGGAATTGGATAGCCTGCTTCAGGTTGGAAGAAGAGACTGCTCTTTCTTTTGTGGGTTAGTCATACATTAGTGAGAAGCTGATACCGTGTGAACTGAATTAAGGTTAATTAGGTTCTAAAGATGTGCAGAGTGCAGTCTGCTTCTAAAAAGCAGTTTCTTCAAATACTTGGAATAATTTGGGATTTTTTTTTTTTATTATGTTTTAATTTTTCTAGTTCTTTCTTTGCAGCTTGAAGAATTTTGGCAACATTCTGATTTGCAAATGTTTCTAATTTGAACCAGGTGTATAGCCTTTAAGCTTGTGTTTTCAAATGCTTTCAGAATAATTTAATACACACTCAAATCAGAAATCCAAGTTTTCCTCACAAGTATGGATTGTTCTTTCTTGGATTGCAATGATAGTTTGTCTCACTTCGCAAATTCTTAGTCTTTTGCAGTCTTGTTTTAGTCTGATCAGCTGCTGTGCGTGGTTTAGAAGATTAACAAAACCTGTTCCTGGACATTCCTCCTGCATTTATGTTTGTTGATATAGTTGAATGCTAAACTGTCTCAACCGTGCATCCATCAATATTTTATAATTTGGGCTGTATCCTGCACAAAAATAATGCAGTGACCTAAGTATAATTTTGTTTCCAGTTTCTAATCCATTTTGCATATGTTTGTTTCTTCAGTATTTTCTTTCTTTTTGAATTAGAGCATGATATCAGTTGGTTAATTTTACATTGTGTATAATCCAGGTGCTACGGACTGTATGAGAGAGATTTTAATCCTGTTCTATTAATGAATTTATCTTTTTCTCTACAATCTCATTTTTGCTATGTGAGGGGTGATTGCAAGTCGAATCTGTGGAAAGCTGCTCAGCTACTCTTGATCAGCATTTTGAAAAAAATGTCCCACTGGATCAAGGTGTAGCTATCTTTTGATCTCACTTTTTTTTAAAAAATTCTTCTCAGGTTCTTGGCTTGATTATGAGACAAGTTTTTTTTTTTTATTTTTTTTCTAAAAGCAAGAAATAGACAAATACATGACTAGAAACAGTTATATGCTGAATGTGCTCTTAGCAAGTCCTGAGCTCTTGCAGTAAGTAACACAGTGGACTGTATACTTTCTTATTGGAATAGCTTGTTTTACCCCCAGGAAGTGGCCTCAGCTGTCAGGTGTTTTAAGGGTTTATAATTTTTATTGTAGTTTATGTATCAAATCTTTGCTCCTTTCTGTTCTAATTGGACCCAGTAGTTCTGACCTGCTACTGACTCGGTCATCACTCGTCTCTACAGTTCTTCTCCTGACAATTGGGGTCAGTTGTGTGGCAGTCCCCAAAAAGCTTGTCTCAGCAACAAACACTAGCTTACAGTGCTGATTGCTACCTGCTGCATTTGGTTTTACACTTGTAATCTCTTTCCAATTCAAAGCTGCCCACGCATAGTAAAACCAGTCATTTTGTAAAATGCTTGAAAGAATAGGTAGGCTTTCAATGAAGTGACTCATCATTTGTATTTAAAACTGGAGAATAATACTTTACAGACAAGGAAATGGCCTATCATTAGCTGTCATTCTTTGAGGTGTCCCATCCAGTTTATTGGAGTGTGTGAAGTTTGAGTAATTGTGCATGAATAATATTTTTGTTGTTGCTAGAATGGAAGTGGGTACACATGTCCTGCTTCCCTAGTGCTTTATGAAAGTGCAGTGGATGATGTGGCAGATTTTTTTCTGTCCAGCAGAATTGCACTGTGTCTGGAATACTGATAGGGTTCAAGGGAAAACAGGATGGACTGCATGCCTTGAAATCCTGTTAGTGGCAGTCAGTGGCTTATTACTTCTTGAATGCTTCATGCCTCTGCCATGCCACGTGTTTAATTAATTTGCAAGTAGGGGTTGCCTTCTGTGTCCACACTTTTTTTGTTAGGGCCATATAGATAACCTGAGTCCTAGTATAACGTGTCTTGCCCTCTGATATCTTGACCAGTGATAGGTGGACTCCAGTAAAAAGTGCGTTTTGAGTTAGTTGTCTGTCCCTGTACTTGCTGTTTCTGTGTCTTTGTCTAGTAGGATTATCTGCAGTGTTCTGTGGAAGCATAAAGCTTGCTCTTACAGTATGGCTGTGGAAGAGAAACACTGGCAAGTCCTTAAAATAATGGTTCGGTTGGCACTCAGTTACTGCAATGTGGGATGGAGACTTTGTCTTCCACTTTTGAGTGGGAAGGGTCATTAGGTCTTGTACTTTTATTTTTTGCTTATTTAATAACCATGGGAAGATGAATCTCAGAACCACGTGTGTTTTGCTTAGGCAGCAGTAAGGATAAGATCGCTCACTGTTGGAAACAATTCTAGCGCCTTCAGAGGCCTCTATATAGGGCTAGAGAGGGGGAGAGGGCCAATAAGTTATGTTAAGATCTGTTGAACTGAATTTCTAGTGACAGATTTGTGGGAAGCTTGATAGACAGGCTCTCAGTTCAAAGGTAGTAATCATAAATGAAGAAAGCTGTTTCAAGAGGAGTTCGTTGTATTCCCTTTGAATATGCTGTCCTGTGCATGAAGGCTGTGCAAGTACACTTTCCACTCAGAGAGCAGAAGATGCTCTGCTGCTGTTGCTCATGATGGGGAGGCACAGGGCAGAAGTGGAGGAAGAAGGAAAAGGGCTCCTTTAATAGATGGGTTCTTTTCTGCAAGGCACTTTTGCAAGTGCCTTCTGTAAGGCACTTCTTCTGAAGAGTGCACTTTGAGCCTTGAAAGAGGTTTATTATGTTAGAAACTCAGCATGAACAAAAATTATGTCACAATACCTGTGAGACTGAGGTTTCCTTGGAGTAAGTTGGTGGCTCATGTAGTGGAAGTTTTATGGAAGGCATCAGGGAAGTTGGCTTAAGTAGTCTAATAGCCCGCTCTTAAGGTGAATGGCCTGTGATTGCTGACTGGAACTGGATGTGATTTCCTTTCTGTTGTCTGAAGATTAACTTCCATAGAAGGTTCTCTGGGATTTCTTAATCTCTTCTAGACTGGGAATTGAAGCATCTGTTGTCATTTCTCTCACCCTTCCACCCTGTTTATAAATGGAAATATGAGATTGCCGGGTGGGGATGATACAGGACAACATGATACAATATTTAGCTTACCCATCCATTGTTAACACTTGATGATGTTACAGTTTCAAGATCTATTACTGCTGTAGCACATAAGGGAAGGAGAAAAGACATTGATGACTTTGTGTGGTCTATAACATTGACATCTAATGTTACCCCAAGCTGCAAATATCTCTTCAGATAGAGGGGAAGCAAATCACTGAAGTGGAACAAGAGAAAATATCTTATCAAATCTGAGTATGTGATATTCCTACTAGTGAAGACAGAAAAAGAGTATTCATGAGCTGTTCAGGTCTGAAGAGTTGAGAAGAATTAAAAAGGTCATGTGTGTTTTTTATTGAGTATGCTTTTATAATCATGAGAGGAGCAGAGGCATGTAGAGCCCTAAAGATAGTATAAATTTAGTAAGTCTTGAGTTCTTGCAGTGCGTACTGTGTGAATGAGCGCAGCAGCAGATCTTGTATGAAGAGTAACACTTATTCTCATGAATGACACTTGTATATCAGCTGTTACATTCAGCTTTCCTTTCAAACAGACTGCACATTTTTCTTTGTTCACAGTGGCTTTGAAAAACCTTTCCTTCTATAGAACGTGACAGAGCAGCCTCACATAGCAATGCATGTATTCTCTCATACTCCCCTTGTCAGCATTGATGCCGTTGTGGACAAACAGATTGCTAAAACACTGATTCAAATTAAGGGATAGGTTGCAGTGGGAGAAGGTAGTGTGGGTGATATCTTGGGGCTCCAGTGAAGGAGGAGGAATCTTAAGAAAACTTCATCCTTCAGTCTCCTTCCTTGTTACGGGTGGCTTTCTTAGAAACTGCTTTTTATGACTCTTGCTCACTTCAAGAGTGGTGAGTGTACAGGATTGACTGTCCCACCTTTGAAGGTGGAGGTTTGGGTGAAAAAGGATGGCAGTGTGTGTAAGTGTAGTATGTAAGTGTGCCTGTGGGACGCTCCATGCTATGTCAGAGAAGAACAGGGACTGATCTGAAAAATTAGGCAAGGGCTGTTTAAGTTAAGATTACATTTTTTAATGCATTTGCCTGACAGTGGCCACGGCACTGTGCTTCACATTACTGATGGTACTTGTGGCAGATGTTTCTTGTTGATACCTGATGAGACCATCACTTTGCTGTCACTTGCTCCAAGTACTGATTACTATGCAAAATGGTTAATCTAGCAACACAATCACAGCTTACACATTTTTGTTTCATGAGGTATGAATTATGTCCTATAAAAGGTGTTTGTGATGTTAACTCTTCTAACAGAGATTTATAGTAGACTGTTTATTTTGTAACATGGTTGTCTTTGTTCTGCACAGGTGCTTGAGTTGGTGCTGGAAAACTTTATTTATCCATGGTACAGGTACGAGCTTTACCTAAAAGTTACTATTTTTAATATCACAGATATTTGTCAACCTGTTTAAGAAGTTGTCACATGAAAATAAACATTTCTGTTTCCTTTGTGAAAGATAAAGCATACTTTTGAGTGCTACAAATCATTGTTTTATTGTCTCTTTGCAGAGTAGAACAGATCTTTTAATAGTTTAGTTGTAGTAGAGGTAATTCTGAAATTAGGATTTAATCCTAAAAACACTTTTAGATTGTCTGTTTTTATATGTTCATTTTGTGATACCTATTACTTGGAAGTAAATACAGACTGATGAAAATTTGTGTAAAAATTCAATCCGTCACTACCTCTGAAATTTACATCCAGATTAGAAGCATATTTATCTATCACATTGCTTTAAAAAAAATAAATAAATAACTTGGCAGGGTTTTAAAGAAAAGGTATTTCAAATACATATGGCAAACTTCTTGGAGATCATCTCATAATTTTCTGACTTTTAAGACTGTTGGTGATTATGTTGCGCTGAATAGAATAGTACTGTGTGAATAACTTTAAAATAGTGAATAAAGAAAACACTATGGCTGATTATTTTTTCTGATTTTTTCTGTGTCATTTTTTTTCTTTTTTTTCTTCCTCGTACTTTTATATATTAATTAGTGCTTTGCAGTACTAAATATTTCTAACAATGCTGGCATTAATGTGTTAAAACAATATCTTGCCTTAGTTCTGAATTTGATTTTTTCATTGGATGGAAATGTTCAATTTGTCCTAAAAAAAAAGTATGATTTCTTTTATTTTTACTCTGTGTCATTCCGACTTTTTTCTGTCTCTGGTATCTAAAATTTGCTGTTCACACTTTGCCTCTTAGGATTTTGATTGTGGTCAATACCTTCATGTCTCACCTCTAACTTTGTGTGTTGAATATGCTGAAGTGTAAAACTTCTCTGCTGATGCAAACAGCAGAGGGAGCCTTAGCACCATGTGTTGTGAATGCAAGGAACATCAAGGTTTTAAACTTCCAGACACAGAAAACTAGAGCATGTTCTGTTGAGTTGTTGATAAAGTAACAAATGTAAGGCAACCATCTCCTGTATTGCATGTTTGGAAAAGACTTTTTTAATTGGCTGGTGGATGATGTCTTCAATGTCTTTGTTATGGACTGACAAGGAAACTTGGCTTCCACCAATTGCCTACCTCTCTGACACCCAAGGCAGTGAAAGGCTGGACTATATCATCTGGTGGAGATAATAATTCACTGTATGTATAATATACAGTTAGAAATAAAGAGTAAAATATACTTGGTATGAAGCCAACCCAGCCTACATTCTGCTCTGTCTTGCCCTCTGGTGAGCAGTGTTCCTGCCCTAAGTTCTGCATGGCTGCACCTCCAGATTTTGAGCTATTTCTGTAAATTCACACCATGCCGATCAAATCTAACAAGCTTTCAGTGAACCTGAAGTACTGGGAGTTCAGTGACTTACAGTGCATGCAGTGATGCCCAGGTAATTCTACAGGAAACAATTTGGTCCTGAAAGGCTTATTGGTTTAAGTTTAGCAGTAGTAATGTCAGATCTGATCCTATTTGGTCTAGACATTCAGGTGTTTCCAGCAGGGGTTGTGCAGGGAACTGTGTCATAGTTTGAGAGCTGCCTTTTAGAGCTTGTCAGTTCTGACTTTTCCTGCTCTAGCTGTACCTGCACTGTTGGAAAAGCTCACATCACCTGGGAAAGAGGATTCTTGCATACAGGACATGTTTGTTCTCTGAGCAAATAAATCTCACTCAGGTTAATTCCTCCCAGAGCCTTCGCATCCGCGCTGTCCTTAATTAGCAGCGTGGCTGGGTAAGCACTAGCTGGCAATTCATACTTGAAAGGTATGCTGGTAAAACATTTGGCTACGTTCCTTTGCAAAGAAAAGTTTGGGCATAATTCCTTATGCTAGCTGCTCCACCTTTCACATGAAGGGATTTTGTGCAGAAGCAGCCTCTTTTTCAGTTTTTGTGGGGTTTTTTAATTTTTTTTTGTTTCATGTGCTGTGCCAACTGATGCAGTCTTGGATATTAGTGTTACCAGGATGTATCTCAGTCAGAAACCAGGGAAGTGTAACATTTACAGGATGTGTTAAAAGATAAAATCATGCAAAATTAATCAAAAATTGATTGCTTAGGAATAAAACTGCTATAAGCAGATAAAAGCTGGTTTATGCTTGTTTCATTAATAAACTGTAAGAATTTCTAATATTTTATTAGCAGGTTAAAACTTAAGCAGGTCCTAAATTTGGACCACTTTAGGGGAATGAGGATTAGTGCTTCAAATCCAATGAACTCTTAATTTTTCAAAGTATTTATGCTGGTTATATTAAGATTCTATTAAGATTGGTTTTTTCAACCAATGAATGAGAAGAATAGAGCATAGTTGTAAGTAATCCCAAGTTTGTAAAGTTACAAAACACAGGTCTGAGTCTATTGCTTATGCTGTACATCAAAACTATATAATACCTTGCTTATACAAACCTCATTTTAAATAGAGTTTGAAGTTTGAATGGGTGGGTGTTCTTACTAAATATTTTTGGTCATTTATGGTACTGCAACTCCAGTTCTTTCAGATGAGGACAGAATTCAGTGATTGCCACATTTTTGTAATGCATTGCTATGAAAACATTTTTCTTTGATGGTGACTAAACACAATGTTTTCACATATGGCGCTACTTCTATTTTAAATGCAAGTAATGCAAGAAAAATCAAGAATTTTTGTTGAGTTACAAACCATAGCTTTACATTTTTATTAGCTTGCGACTTACTTTCTGCATCTTTTTGAAAAGAGTTAGCCAAGTTTTGTAAGAATAATTGACACACAGAGGAAAAATATTACTTTGTTATTTGTATATGATTTTCATTTATCAGTGGATCCCGTAAGACTTTGCATGCGATAGCAACTGGGTGTATCTCTCTTGAGACATTGGACTCTGTAACTGTTTACAATTAATATTCCTAAAGTTCTGGGAAAATACAGTCAGCTTTTAAAATGTTTCCAAGAGGGTTATTTGGACTTTCCCCTGTGTCACTAGAGATTTGACATTTTACAGGTTCATGATGTTTTTTTCACCAGTCTTCAGTCTGTTGGTGATTAAAAGAATGTCTTTGCAAATCTATTGTGAGAATATGTGGCATAAAGTCATGTCCAAGTAGAGCTAGCAAAGATACTGGTTATCCAAGTGTCAATAAAATAACAACTTCTTGGTCCAAATTACTTCATGTATCTTGTCTGTCAAATGCTAGTAATACCATAATACAGTTTGTTTGCTAATCCCTTGGCAATGCTAATCCCTTTGACACTGTGGGTATTTTCTAACCATATTGCTTATAAAATGTCAGCTGCTGATCTTAAACCAAACTTTCCCCTACAGTGTTCTTATCTGCATGTGATTAGCTGTTGGAGGATGGCTGTACTTCTTGTGCCAAGCTGCTTTCTTTGAGGTGTTTTTTTCAGGCAATTAGTTACATACTTTGACTCTCAGGTCACTAGTATCTCTAGTGTCTGTACCTGATTGTTCATCATCAACATGCCTTTGAATGTTCTATAACCGAGGCTAAAATCTCTTTAAAAGTTGGATGCTGAATACTGTAAAATGTTTTATGCATAATTTTTTTAAATTATTTTTAAATGTCCTGGTCTTGCTTGTAGTGTTGTTTTATAACACAAGTAATATTTCTACTTACTACACTCATTTATCACCAAAAAGTGTGGTGGCTCTTGCATATGATCATTAGGTAAAACTGGATGCAACTTCTTTTGTCATTATTTAGCTGTTGTACCTCATTTTTACCAATATATTAGTCATGCTCTAAAGTTCATATTAATAACTGGTAGACTTTTGTTTTTTGCTTGCATTTTGTGGAATGCTGGCACGATGATCTCTTTTTCCACTCAGTTTAGTTGCAGTTTTTTCATCTAAGGCTTTGTGTATTTCCTGTTTTTGTTCAGTTTTCCGAAAAAGTCACGGAGTTATGTACTTTTCTTCTTGAATCACGTTTAATTATTTTTACCATGAATTTTCACTGAACACATTTTATTGCAGCAGATGGAAACTGGCAAGCCACATTAGAAGTTTGGACGATATTTTGACATAGCAATTTGGAAATCTATTTAAATTCTTCTTTGTTTCCAAGCAGAAGCCACTTTAAATAATTTCAATTTCCTTTATACCATGGAGTTAGGATTTGTTTCCATATGTAGAAACTAAGTTAGATTTTATTCAGTCAAAATCATGCAGATAGTATATGAGAGCAGCAATTAGTGTATCATTGCAATTTTCTGATGTTTTTCTTAAGCGTTGTGTGCACAGACATTGTAGGAATGCTGTGTAATTTCCTCAGAAGACTGCTGACTCTCTGATAGCTGTTATTTCAGTTCATTCCAGCTGCAGTATCACTGTTGAATGTTCTTATTCTTACGCTTTTAACAGTGCCAAATGTATTGTGGTTGGATTAATAGAAACTTATTTTATTCTGTTTCCTCATATGCCATGCTTTGAAACACCACAGAAATATTACTGATGATGAGTCCTCTGTGGATGAACTGAGAGGGACACTACGGTTTTTTGCATCTGTCTTAGTTCGGAGAATTCACAAGGTAAGGTGACTTAAAGGTATTAGTGTTGGTTTTCCATCAGAGGTAATTGATATCCATCTCTAGTGAGTTCTTGATTTTATTTTTTTAAACTGTGATTCCAAAGTCAGCCTTACAGTGTAGGTTGTTTCTAACAAAGTTACTTCTTTGTGGTATCTACCCCATCTTTTTGGAGCTTATCCCCTTCCTAGTTGTAAACCATCTTGGAAGATTCATCATTGGAAGTGTTCAGCATTGTGTTGGATATGGCTTTGAGCAGCCAGTTCTAGAGAAAGATGTCCCTGCCATGTCAGGGAATTAGAATAAGTGATCTGTGAAGGTCCCTCGGTCAAACCTTTCCCCACTTGTTGCAAATGCGTCTATTTTTCACACCAGTGAAAGGCATTATGAAAACCTTGTGATCTTTTAGCTGTCTTTTGGTGACAGGTGGAAACCATTTTGAGAATTACTGAAAAAGACCTGTTAGAAAACGGTGAGATGTGTTATAGCTTCTGCTTGCTTGTCTTCTTGTAAGGGCAATGTAAGGCCCTTACATTGTCTGTAAAGAATAGGCTGACATTAGGTGACCATGTTACTGTAAGAATTAAAACAGATGTGGTTCTTACATTAATGCAATTCTTCAGGCGCATTTTCAGTGCTAAAGATTAAAAGATTTCATTTGCTGTGTTTAATACATTAGCACATACTTTTTTTGTATGTGCTTTCTTTTTAGCAGCACAGCTATTTCCTGGTAAAGTGATTTGAGCCTGTTTCACAAGAACTGCTTCTAACTTCCTGGCAGTTCTAAGCAGAAAGGGTTGCTAACTCAGTTTCGAGAATTAGTCAGTGCTGGCCTCTCTGTTGGAGTCACTACCATAAACATAGGTCTTTTCCCCCCCTCCTTAGTAACAGCAGTATTTTTCTGAGCTACAAGTTTTTACCCTGTCATGACTTATTAACAGCTTGATTAGCTCCTTCTTACATATCAAATCCAAATGACTGTTTTGTTTACTCTAAATCAGGCATATTGCTTTTTCAAGTGAACATGGGGGAAGATTAGGAAGTGTCCATGTAGCACAGACATTTTTTGGAGTTGTGAAAGTGGAATAAAGCTTCAAAGTGAAAATCTAGACCAAGGTCTTAAAATTTAATTTGGGGTAGTAATACATACTGGTGTTAGTTGCACTGTTCATGGATCCATTGTTGACTCAGAATATGACCATGTCTCCTGTATTGATCATGTAATAAGGCATTAACTGGGATATCTCAAGTGAGTTTCAGCATCTTGAAGTAGAGTGTTACTTTACTATCTCTGCCTTTGACAGTGAGGATTTCAGTGCAGTATCTTCAGTTCTCTGTGTAGGCAGTATGTGCAACAAACACTCAAGACGTGCCAGTATTAAGCGCTGTCAGGGGACCTACAAAATAAAGTTCATCACAGAAATGGGTATGTTGAGGAGAAATTAATCATCATCAGTTGAAAAATAAAATAGTTGTATACCTTTGCCAAGCAGCTGTACTCTGTTTTGGATTTATTATTAAATGCTTGAAAGCAATTGTTCCAGCTAATAGAGATAAAATGTTTAAATCGAGGAAGAATTGTGCAAGAAAACACAGGCTGTTTTTTCATTTTATTGAGATTATATTTTTATATTTTTTTTGCCAAAGAATATTCTATTTTTGAATTGAGACTAAAAATTACAAATTGCTTTAATGAAAAGAATGCTTTTGTTTTCTGTTTAAAGCTTCCTAGGTTGAAGCATGGTTGTTGAATGAATTACAGGCACTTTAGGCCAATCAGCTCTTAAATGTATGCTGAAATACTTCAAATCTGGATTTTGCTTGCTGTGGCCATTTCTGGACTGGTTATGGGTTTTGGAGGGAAAGAGAAGGGCTACACCATGCTTTTGTATGACGTGGTAGAGATAACCCTGCATGTGATTGAAGTTTTTGAAAAAAGTTCACAATGTGTACTGCAGTGTTGATAATAATTTCCTTGGCTGTGCTCTTCGAGTTACCTCTGCAGGAAGAAACACTACCCTATACTTATATGCCATAGGAAACTCTTAATTTCTAGAAATTACTGTTGGAATGTGAGGCACAAAAGATAGGGTTTTCCATTGATAAGCAGAAGCTTGTCCTTTTGTGGTTGTAAATAGGAGCTGACCTTATTTTTAGGTAGATCCAAGCAATTGTACTGGCTTATTGGGGCTGGCCAGGTCAGGTCATAGCTGTGCACCTCAGATATTACAGGGGAGTGTGCAGGAATGTGTAATATTCTCCTTGTATAATTGAATAAAAAGCACCAACTTTTCTCTCAGCTCTGGTGGCCTTTGCAGTTGCATTGTCTCTTTCATTGTCTGTCAAGATGCTGTATCGAGGATGGATTCCTCATTAGCAAAGAAACTTGTTCAGAATTCTTAGATCTTGAACATTTACAGGTGTATGTTTTTGCATCTCTGAGGTATCTCTTGTTTAAAGTAAAGAGTGTGCAAAGTATAAATCACTTTCTAGATGAGTTTCTGTGAAAACTGCTCCAGTTGATAAAGAATCCCTTGAAACTGTACAAGCTGGGGACTGACTGGTTTCAGGGAGAAGCTCTGCTCGCTGCGAAGGACCTGACTCCATAGTAGGCTGTGAGCTGAATATGAGCCATCAGTGGCAGCTTAAAACACCAACAGCATCCTGGGCTGCTGTGACAGAAGCAGAGAAAATCAAGAAAAGTGATTAACTGCCTTCACTGCATGCTCTTTGGATGGCATCTAGGATACTAACCCAGTTTTGGGCTCCTCTTTGCAAGAAGGTAGAGCAAGTTCAACCAAAGGGCCACCAAGATGGCTGGGGCTGGAGGAAATGACTGTGTTCAACTCAGGAGGTTTTCAGCACCAGCTTGGATACAGCCTTGAGCACTGTTATCAGAGCCTGCTTGGAGCAGAGCTAAGACACGCCAAGGTCATTTGTGCCTGAATTGTTCTCCTTCCATTTCTGTAGCCACCTAAGAAAATAGAAATGCAGGACCCTAATACAATCCTTGATTAAATCATACATGTTTTTTGTTTGGCTTATGATCACATGGTTCTGGTTTTGGCACTAATGGTCTCTTGACTCTCTAAGTCAAATTCTGTTTTGGCTCTGCCATCACCTTAGGGGTGACATTTTTTTTCCCTATGTGTAGGAAGGTTCGTCTTTGGTTTTATTCCTTGTAGGCATGACTGCAGAGTGTTAAGGCACACAGATATTAGAAGCAGAGCATAGTTACCTTGAGCCTTTTGTTGGTGGTCAAATCTTCCCATAGAACTGGGCTTCATATACTGTTACTCAGAGGTCACGCTGCCTTGCTATATTTATGGCAATGAAAGAATCATAATGGGAATTAGTTGACAGTAAATATGTTAACAGTGTTGTTTATGGCATTTAGTTCTACTTGTTTTTGTATACTGTGGCAGAAGGATGAGGACACTGTCAGCTCACCTAGAGAATTTTGGATTGTTTCTTAATGGTTAATTTTATGGTTCAAACTGGAACATAGAAGCGAATTACTATGTTTGATGGTTGTCTGTAATAAATTTTGGGGGGGTGGAAATAGAACAGTTTTGGTTTTATTTTGAAACTATTAAATTATTCTTTAGGTGGACATTCCAACGGTTATCACAAAGAAGATGCTCAAGGCAGCAATGAAACACGTTGAAGTAATAGCCAAGGCCAGGCAAAAAGGTAATGTCAAGACTTAATATGTTGTCAGTTTCAAAGGCCAAGTATGAATATTTTCCTTGTTACATGTTTTGAGATTATATTGCCTTATCTTTTTATCCTTATGGCCTCTTTTATTAAAAAATGAGGTCCTTTTGCATTTTTCTTCTGGTGGTTGCAAAAGCAAATAGGGAAAAAGTTACAGTACTTATTTGTATTCTCTATTTTGATTTTTATTGCCCTACAATCAAAATACTAGGTTTCTGTCTCTGTGCAGAGGTGAATGGGAATATGGGTTTTGTATATTCAGAGCAATCAAGATCATTTATGAATGCTTCTTGAAGTTTTCCTTTATATTCCAGATGAGCAGTTATAGATGAAAGGATTTGTACATCTGTGCCCTGTACCTCATAGCTCTTATAGATAGAATGATTTCAAATCTGCATTAGTGAAGTTGAGATATGTTGAAAAGTTAGGTTCATGTTTGTAAGCCATGGAGAGACTTTGAGCAGAAGCATATTTATTATCCAAGGTAAGAGTATCTTCACAAGCCCAATGTAAAAATTATATTTAAACTGCACATTGAAGAAATATTTGGAAACACTTGCTCTTGTTATTGTTATTTTTTTCACTGGCTGTGTTCCACAGTACTCTATCTACTAAATGTGGTTTCATTCAACTTTTAAGTGTAGATGTTTACTTTAACTGGAGTCATGAACTTTTCTTCTTTCCCTCCAAACGTCTGCTTGATATCCATAAATACATGCCATTGGTCCTGTGAGTAGTGTTAATGATTAAGATGAATAATGAGACATAGTGTAATCACGCTTTCATGGCACAACAGCAATCTCAAGATAGCAGATAATCTTGCAGTGCTGTTTACGCCAAATTTCATGTTTCCTTTGATTTCTACCAAGGAGTTGGAAACACTTTTCTTCAGCAGCAAAGAACTGCTAAATGTAAAATGTATAGCATTGGAAATATAGCCATTTTTTCTCAGTGTTTTAAAGGAAAAGATGTGTTTCCTAAGGGCAGATATGTGAAGTAGCAGCTGAAAATTACTTTTAGTAGCACTTTCTAGTAAACATTGCTAAAGCAGCCACCACAACACATGGTTCAGAGACAGCATTCAGACCTTGCTTTGTTTGCTAATTGAGCCTAGCTTTTCCTCTTTATTTTCTAAGCCCTTTTCAAGTGATTGTTTTTAGGGAGCATTTCCTTCTCGCCTACTCTTGTTACCCTTACCTCTCTTAGTAATTCCTATTTACAGAGACACCTCCATGATTCATTACCTGTCCTTGCTAGAGGGTCAGTTCCTTCTCTCTGCTTTTAGTGACACCAGCTAGGCAGATTTATCAGGTGATACGTATTCCTGCATCCCCTCTGTCAGCTGATACCACTCGTGGGTTTTGCTTGTGAAGGCCAAGCCAGCAGGCTTCTCTCATAGGCTGGGAGTAAGCTTTAACCTTGGAGGTAACTGAGGAATGTATTACTACTCACTATGCTTGGTGGTGGTGTTGGCATGAAGCTGTGCCACGTTGCTAATTCAGCTAGGTGTGATATATAACAGCTCACTTCTTGCCTTTGAAGTGAAGAAATATAATATCTGAAGAAATACAACACTGTTGATTCTAATGAATATCTGTAGTTTTTAATCTGATAAAGAAGAATTCTTTCAATTCTGCTGTAATTTAAGAGGCAGTACTCTTGCAGATCCTCCTGCAGGTTTTGGCTTGATTTACCCTGTGTTTACAATGTATGTTCCTTCACGTTTGTTTTTAAGTGTTCTAAGCAGGAAACAGATACTACAGGATTGAGTAAAAGTTTACATTGATTTCAAATTGTATTGTAGGCCAAAAAAATTGGAGCTCATGAAGAAGGTCAGGAAAAAGGCAGTTAGAAGCAGACTTTGCATGATGCAGTTTTTTTGAGAATCCAGATGTTTTTATAATTTTTATATATATATGCTTTATAAATATGTTTATATTATTTTATATATATTTATATATAATGATAAATGAGAAAGCATTCTGGATACCATGAAAACTGCAATTGTTTGGTGAAGGAATTCTTATTTCAGTATGAGGTTTTATTTTTACATAGCTAGGCTTCAAAGTCTAAGCCAAGGTTCTTTTGTAAAGTTTCAACGTTTTATCCCTTTGGCAGTTGTATATGTACTAAAAGCATTAACTTTTTAGCTTATATGAAAATCAATTGCCTTTTGTTTACTAGTAAGAAAGAGCTGAAGCAACTCTTGTAATAATGTTTCTTACTTTCAGTAAAAAATGCAGAATTTTTGCAGCAAGCTGCTTTAGAAGAATATGGACCAGAACTGCATGTTGCTTTGAGAAACAGAAGAGATGAACTTCACTACTTAAGAAAACTTACTGAACTTCTTTTTCCTTATATTTTGCCCCCAAAGTCAACAGAGTGCAGGTATATAAATTATTTAGATTTGTATTTTTTAAAAATATCTGCGTACTATGTGGTAAAATAATTTTGGAAAGTGAAAGAATGAATGTCAAAGTCATCTTCCTTCATATGCCTTTTTTATGTTTTTTTTTATTTGTTAAAATGGCATGCTTATGGTGTTATTAATTCCTAAAACATTTCCCAATAGTATATGATAGCATTGGAAATGGAAACCTCACTTAGAAATTTATGTAATCTAATATTGCTTTGGATTTTTATTTTCTTTCCTTTATTTTCTTTTCAGATCCCTGGCCCTTCTCATAAGAGAGATTCTCCCTGGTTCTGTTTTCCTTCCCTCAATGGATTTCTTAGCTGACCCTGTAAGACTTTGGAGCACAAGAATAATCTTAATTTATTCAAAATTACTGTTTACCTACTAAGTATGTTGTGGTAAAGCAAATGATGTGCAATGACTTACTTGCTGTGCATTTTGACTAGATAAAAGAAAAAGAAGTCTTGTGGCCAGTTATTTTGTTTGTTCATACGAATTAGCTCACTGAACTGACTAAAATAACAGTATTGGTGTGATCTCTTAAGAATGTGTTTTTCAGTGAAGGAAAATGTATTTTTTAATGAAGGAAAATGAAGCTCCTGTCAAATGGGAGAATGCTGTGCTAGTGTAAACATCTTCAAGTTGCTATTGCTATGTTTACAAAGGGCTCAATGACTTGAACTGTTAACTCTGTGGATCTTCATAGCAGTCTAAATAAACCAGCCTTTTCTTCAGCTGTTTTGAAATAAATTTTTTTCCTTCAGTTCTTCAAATTAGGGGGCATTTACTTCTGAAACTGCAACGCTGCCATTGTTTTTAGATATGCATGTATTTTAATAGGCAAAATTGCAGTGCATATGCTGGCATCACCTGGCTGCAAACAGAAAGTGCTGTAGTCTGGAAGTATTGGTAGTTCATTAGATCTGCACTTAGAGTAAAAATACTTTGGAGGGCTTTCTTCCACTGGGTAAAGAATGTTTCTGTGCAGGTCTCTTCAGAAGTTCCCTGACTTGTAAAAACTTGAGGAGACCGTTGGAGGTCAATTCTAAAATGTACATTCCCCAGCTTTTCTTTTTAAGAAGTATTAATATACTCATGTTTAAATTTGGTTATAATGTAGTACTGAAATTCTATTTTGTTGAGTTTCTTTAATATTAATTTTATTTCTTGTGTTGTGTTTCTTGCAGGATACTGTCAACCATTTACTGCTGATCTTCATTGATGATAGTCCAGTGAGTACTGCCAAAGTTAAAGTAGTGGCATTTTGGTAACACATGAGAGAAGCTTTCTTACCCAGGTGTAATTTTTTTTCTGCAGCCTGAGGTAGCAACTGAGCCTACTTCTTCATTGGTTCCATTCCTTCAGAAATTTGCTGAGCCAAGAAATAAAAAACCATCTGTAAGCAAAGGCAACATTTACTTTCTTTCCCGTTTTGAATAAGTGTTTTACTTTACCTGCTGATTTTGTTCTACAACTCCTTGCATTATTTATGTACTCACTGAAAGTTTGAAAGTTGGCTGACTGCATTTTTAACGTACTCAGGTACTGAAACTGGAGCTGAAAGAGATCAGAGATCAGCAAGACCTTTTATTTCGGTTTATGAACTTCCTGAAACAGGAGGGGGCTGTCCATGTACTGCAGTTCTGCCTGACTGTGGGTAAGATACAAATGTGTGCTGATGGTTATTTGAGGATATGACAGTCATTCTAATGGAAAACTACAATTTGCATCTGGGTAATTTAGGAAGAAAAAGTCATTCATATGCCAAGAACAACCTCATGGATTTATCCTTACTGTGTTAAGGAATAATTTATTTTAGTTGCGGTAGAGTTTTATTTTTAGTAATAACTTTATGAACAAATCTGAATTGTAGTTAATAAGAGGGCAGCTACCTTATTACCTTGGATTTTGAGATGTCTTATGTTTCTTTTAATTTTGAAGTTTTGCAAATGACCTACTGGAAAATGAGATGATGTTATAGGGTGCTTCAAGATGTTATTTGTCTGCCAAGTTGATCAAGAAATGCTTTTTCTTTCCTTTACTTCTCAGAGGAATTCAATGACAGAATTTTGAGACCAGAACTATCGGATAGTGAAAAGATGTCTCTTCATGATGAAGTACAGAAAATTTACAAAACTTACTGTTTGGATGAAAGCATTGACAAGATTAGATTTGACCCTTTCATTGTGGAAGAGATTCAAAAAAGTAAGTTGGCATTTAAAAGGAATAATGTACATTGGAATTTAAACAGCATTTGGTAATGAATTGAAAACAAATTTTGCTGAATATCATAAAACTTTTTTGTCAGTTTTAAAAATTATTCCTGTGCTATATTGTGCTTAATCCTTTTTTGTCAATTTATTTATATTTTTTATTTGCAGAACTTAGAGTAACTTGCAAAGTAATCACAAGCTCTGACCAGAAAACAACATGAACTTTATATACCTGGATGTATATCTCTTTATTCATACTTTTTTTTTTAATAGTTGCTGAAGGTCCATATATGGATGTTGTGAAACTTCAAACTATGCGCTGTCTTTTTGAAGCTTATGAGCACGTCCTTTCTCTGCTTGAGAATGTTTTTACTCCTATGTTCTGTCACAGTGATGAGGTAAGTGTGAAAGATTTGAGGAGTAGTCTTAAAAATGAGTTTGTATTTTTTAGGATATGTTATTTACAACAGTCATGTTTATGTGGAACTGAAAAATATGGCTTCATTTTCTACTTCAGTTGATATTCTAGAGCTGGACTGTTCTCAGTAGGAAAATAAAATTCTTTGTAGTCCAACACATAATCACAGAATAAAAGAAAGACTCCATTTTTTGACATAACAATTTGTGTATATCACAGCTTTTACAAAATCCTCTCCACCCCTTCTTTTGTGGTTGCAAATGTGGTGCAAAAGTAATCTGCCATGTAGATGTAGAATACAGTCTCTTTATTTACTTTTAAAAATATAATGGTATTTAAAGATACAAAAATTTAGGTTTTTTCAGCATTATGCATTCCAGCACCTAAAAGTCTGGTGTTTGTTTTCAAGAAGATAGCTCAAAGCAATTAACAAGGTATTTAAGATTGTTGTGTGATTGGGGTCTAAATGCCACCTTAAGAATTCCCTGAACTGGGCTGACTATCTGTCTAAGGCCTTCTAGTAGGACACTCTTTAATCACAGGGGTGAGTCTGAATTCATGTTTCCTTTCAGAAGTTTGTGTGTAAGTCAGGTTGTGTGTTGAGCTTCTTGGATTTATTTGAGGCAGAATATATTGTTTTGTCCTGTTAATTTTTTTTTTTTGCTGCTTAATTTATTTTTTATTTCTGCTTTGTAGTTATAATCTCATGATTATGTAGGGTTAAGTAAATAGTCCTAGTCTCATGTATTGATTATTGTATGGTCTGTCCTTTTCCAGAGTAAAATTCTAACTGATAGTTAGAAATTATGGTCAGTTTGGCTTTTCCTTCAGTTATCGTTTCCTGAATTTTGCAATTCAGTGTTGCACAGTAGCCTTTACCTCAGTTAATCCAGTGTTTTCTTTGATACTTTGCTACAGTACTTCAGGCACCTTTTAAGGGGAGCAGAGTCACCAACCCGCAATTCGAAGTTTAACAGGTAGGTATGGTAGAACTTTGAAGTGGTTTCCTTCAATTTTTAATTAAAAGCATCAAAATATTAAACTGTAAGAATTTTGTTATTGTCTGCTATTAATTTGACTAAATTTTTAGCTCTACTTTTTTTTGTTTGTAAATGAACAAATTGCATACTAATGTTGCAAGCAATATTACATAAGACATCTTATTACATAAGACAGCATTAAGTATTTTACATTAAAGGATTTAAAATGTGATTTAGACCTGAACATTTGAAAAGAGGGAAGGGAAAAAAAATATGCATTGAGAATAAGATTATATGAAAATAAAGTGGTGATTTAATTGACTGTTTATATATAATACCATTTTAGTAGTGCCAAGCTCTGTCTTCTTGGATTTGAGATGTTACAGGGATAGGTACAGTGCACCCTATGTTAAACCAAGCTGGTTATTTGATGGGGAATCTTCTCTTACTGTGGCAAGGAGGATTTGCCACTTCTCCTAGATCAAATGTGGTTTCTGTCCCCCAGCTCCATTGCAGAAATGTAGCATCAGAAGCCTTGTTTCTGGGCTTGGGCCATATACTTCAGCCTGTGGAGGAGAAGGGCCTCTCCTGTGGTGGGGATGGGTAATCTTCCATTGTTGGCTTGGGCTTTGTTGATAAACCTTGAGATCTCATAATTTCTTGTGTTTCACTTTGTCTTGGAAGGCTCTGACAGTAGTGGACTAGCCCAACTGAATTTCTCTTATGGTGTAGGCAAAAGAAGGAAAACTTCAGTGAGACAGTCTTTAATTTGGATAGGCTTGCTTTCTTGGTATAAAATAAGATCCATGGCACTGTGGAAAATGTTAATGCTTGTCCTCTTCTAGAGGAGTAACAGTGATTAATTTAACCTTTTCTGCTTTCCATTAGAGTTACACCTGACAGCAAACTCCTGTTTAACAGCCTACTCTAAAACTTGTATTACTGGCACATACCTTTCTTCCCTGCTCCTGTTCTTCAAAAATGGCACAATTGTTCTCTTTATTATATCTCCATTGGTGACATCTTTTATGTGGTCTTTATAGTTTGTGTAGGCCTGGCTCTGGAGCTTTGGTGAAGTGCTGTCTCACAGTGGTGCTGGCAAGCTTCTGTTTCTTAACAAAGAGACATGAAATGAAGGACAGCTAGCCCAAACTGCATTCCTTTCCTACACAGTGCTCCATGTAGGGTGACCTTGAGCACACTTCAGCTTCTGTTGGAGATGAGTATGGGGTTTCACCTAGACTTTTAAATCTGGTTTATTCCCCCAAATTATTCATGTCAGGGGTTGGCAGTATTCTGTCATGCACTTCTTAAATCCAGTTAAAATATGAAAGCATGTAGGTCACTTCTTTGGTGCTCTGCTTTTAGAAACAGAAAGGAGGAAGTTACAGGCCATTTCTTCCTGGAGTTTTTAAAATGCACCTCAGGCTACAAAATAAGCAAATTTTGTTTGGGGGCTGTTGCAGCATATTCTTAAATAGCATCTGTAGCATTACTGAAAATGTATCTGATTTACATTTTAGAACAATTTGAATGCCCTCAGTATATATGCTGGTTTATAGTACAAGATACTGTGGTACCTCAGTGATTATTTCCATGAAACAGAGGTCCTATCTTGCAAGTAGTTTGCCTGTTGCTTTGGAATTTCCCTCTGCAGAATTGTATGCAGTCACTGCCAAGGGGGTGGGGAAAAATCAAGGTTTCTCAAGGAATTATTTCAGATGTTATTCCATATATTTTGTTCTGCCTTCTCTTTCTTATTCTAGCATTAGCTCCACTTGAAAGTAATTACAGGCAAAGAGATGAGTTTTGTTTCTCATATTTTTGATGTGCTTTGTTATGGGTACTATGTGTGTACTGCATAGGTACTGCTGGTTAAAAAATCAGATCAAAAAGTAGGTATGAAATCCCAGTGGAACGTGCATGCGGGTAATGTCTGGAAACATTTGCCTTACTGCAAGACAAGAAAATTACAGCTTCTAGAAAATATAGGTGGAAAGGGAGGAAGAAGTGACATCTGTGTAATTTTTGGTTTGAATCACTTCTTTGAACTGTACAGAACAATCATAGCTTTTTGCAGCCAGGACAAATACTGTGCTATGAAAACTATTAAGGCAATAGGTGGGCAGTGTCAAGGGTTTCTGGAATGTAAAAAAGTCACACTGAGAGCATTCTGACAACTTGATAACCAATTGTGTTTGTCATCAGTTTTAACTCTGTAACTGATGTTTTGTACCAAATGTTTAATGTGTGTGACCAATGATAACTGGTGTTTCAAGTTCCAGTTCTGTCAACTTAATTTGGATAGCATGGAAGAGACAACAAGAATTCCCTCTCCCTCTCTCACATTTATGTATTTATAATACATTACTGCATTACTTAAATGTAGTCTGTGTTGGAAGTCTAACAAAAAAAGAAAAGCTGTTATGTAGTATAAATACCCAGATTTCTGGATTACTGTATATATATATATCTTGATTTTCTACATACCATAACCACAAACAGAAATAGACACATCCTGGTTTCTCATATTTGAATAGCAGTGAAATTAAAGCATTTTTCAAGTTAAAGGACCATGGAGAAAAGATACTAACAATTTCAGGGAGCGGTTAGGAGTAAAACCCATGAAATTAAGTCTGTGGAAAGTTCTATGCAATGTAATAGTCACCATCATTTCTAGCCTGGTAGGTTATATTTACAGTTTCACAGTTAACACAGCCAAAGACAGTGTAGGGTGTCTTACAGTCAGACCCTTCAGTAAAACAGAATCTAAAATTTTAATATTTTTATCCCATATCAGTTTGTCCAGAATTCAGAAGCTGCAATGAATTAAACTCCTGTGTGTGGTGACAGTGTTTCTAGTTAATTCATTTAAACATCTCAGTTGGAATTACTGGGTTGATGTACCATTGGTTCTAGGTACCAGGTTATGTAGAATGTCAAAAATACATGACAGTTCTTAAAATCTGTAAAATAAAAATTTTTAAAAAGATACTTTAATTTTAAATAGTGGCTTTTACTATACCTAATACAGATACTATACTGCATTATAGTGTGTTATATATGTATATACTACAGTAATACAGAGGGGGAGAGGGCATGTATTATTGCATGAAGTAAGTCCACAGCCTTTTCATTGTGTTGGCCAAATGAGCTAGATTCCTATATGACATCTGAACAGTCATAGGTAATAGGAAAAGTTATCTGGCTATTTGGCATTACAGATAACTTTAAGAATGAAAGTTGTTCTTCATTAATTGGTGGTTGCTTGTGCTGAATCTCCTGAATGTTTCAGTAACTGATGTAACTGGGCTTGTGATGATGAGATGTGCAGATACTGTTCACATTTTACTTTCTTAGGATTCTAGGTCAGGAACTCCTAACTGTACCACTTACCTCTTTTCTTAACCTATGGTGATGGTCAAAGCTATTCAGTTTTGTTGGGATAGGTCTGTCAAATTTGCTGTGGTTTGGGTTCTTTTGTTGTTTTGGTTTTGTTTTATCTTTGTTTCCTGCTGGGCTTTGAGGTAATTTATTTGCCTGTTGTTGCAGAAGTAGCCTGAGTTTGGATGACTTGCGGTAAGTCTATCTAACACTCAATAAATGTTGTGTGTTAGTTATGCTGCATCTCCCATGGCTTCATCAGTCTTTATAATCGTAATTAACTGTTCATTTTATTTTTAAAAGACATGACTGTGTTCTCTGGACTGAGGTGCATTTCTCCTCACAAAAATCTTTACTCCCCATGTCCTCTTAACAAGTGTTTAGAAATTGCTTAATTATTAATTTCATGTGTTTGCTGTACATTAAAACTGCTGTGAACAGTCTGTCTGTCATTTGTTTTGAAATATATTTGCAGAGCTTGAAGCTTTTTTTTTACTTGTGACTGCTAGCTGCTCTGAAATTTCCTTTTCTCCATGTCATATTGTTATCCACTTATGTGCTTGTTTTATCTTGCAAGCTGTATCTGGAGTGATCATTGTCTACCATCACATGCAAATATATAACCATTTTATGATTTTTAAGCACTCAAACCCAACAGTTGTCCAAATTAGTTCTCTCTGCAGCTTCTCTTGAGACTGTTACAGGTTGGATGACAACATATGCTGTTTTTTATAATTTGCTGTAGGTAGTAAGTGACTACTCATTAATGCCTTAGTAGCCGTCCAGTGCTTGCTTTCTCATTATTCATGCCTCTTTGAATACATGATATCCAAACTCAGAAAATAATATTTTCCTTATGAACTTTTCCTTAGAGTTTATCAGAGCATCTGTTTGACATAGATTGCTCATACTAGTCAGGAGGGGAAATTTTTCAACTTAATTTTTCAGTTTTAGAATCAAGGAAATTAGATACTTTTATATTTTCTGTGCCAGTTCAGCGTGTTGAGCTATAACTTGCTTGACTGAGCAATAAGGAGTTCTTGAGTTATAAATGCAGCTCACTGATTTTCAAGTGCAGCAGTATGTCCTCGGCATTTCTCCTAGCTGTGTGTATGGATTTTAGTTAGCCAAAGGAAATGTTACTATGACTTCACATGCATGTTAATATCTGGCTTGTCTGATATATACAACTGTTCTGGTCCTTCTTGACCCAGAGAGGCTCACAGCATCATTCTGCATAGCCCTGGCTCATCACCTGCCAAGATCTGTTCAGTGCACTGAGGCAGGCATCCTGTGGGAAAATGATTTTGCAACCATCCATGATTAAAGAATGCCATGGTGCACAGTGGACTGCTGCAGTCTTCAGTCTGCAATTCCCTCTTATAGAGTAAACAATAATTGTTTTAATGTTAGATATGTGTTACTTTTGGAATGTTTGAAAAAAAAAAAAAAGAGCTGTTCCAAGCTCTTGTTGTCATATCATTCTTCAGGAATGTTGGAGCCTGTAGACTGCACAGAGACCCCTCCTGAGAAAGCAACTATAGAATGATGGTCTAATAATGCTGTTATATGGATTAGCACTAGAGGGAGTGGGATGTTTTTCCAACAGGTTTTTGATGTGTATATATATTTGTTGACATGTCTTTAAAAAAATCTAGTCTCTGTTCAAAACTGGCTACCTCCTGTCATCTTGGGTCCTTCATATCTTGAACCTGCCCCTATCCTAGTCCCGTCTCTTTTCCTCTACTTAGTCTCAGGGTCTTTCTTCTACTTTTGCTTAGCCAGTGGATTGATTAGATTTTCATCATGATACCTTTTGTATATATATATTTTTGTTGCTTCATTTCTTTGAAATGTCAGGTCATCCAGTTGTCTGTCAATCCACAGATTTCTTTTCCATGCTCATCTAATGTGATCTGTGATGAAGGATTTTTGCCAAACCAATCCTGTGTTCTCTCCATATATTGTGGAGAGTGTCTGTGTACCCTTTCATTCACCAGTGTTTGTTCTGAATTTGTCTCTTCCTGCGAAGAGAATCCTATTCTAGTTCGTTACTTTATACTTGTCCAGTTCAGTGATTGGTTTTCATTCACGTGGAGTAATCTTTGGGCTCTGCATTGTGGCTGGAGGGGTTGATTCCTAGCTGTCAGGTTGAGCTTTGGCTCCATACAGCTGTCTACAGGCACAGGTGAATGCTGCCTTCACTTGGAGCATGGTCAGTGTGGGAAAGAACTGCTTTGAGACTGGAGGCCTCCAATTATCAAATCGCTGACCTTGTGCAAATCAATGCTTTTGCTCAAACTCTTGAAAACTGCACTAGTTTTCAGAGGAATGATAAAAACTCCCTTCAAATTTAAGCCAGAGATCTGAAATATTAGCCTTCCAGAAAAGCTAGTTTTGTCTGATCAAGGTCTGTGGTTTTTAGCCCAGCGTTAGAAGTACTTTGAACGTGATTCAGGTAAGGTCCATTATGTGAAACAGCTCAGTTCAGTGCAGTAACATGTAGCAGAAGTTGCTCAAGAATGGAGCAAATATGGATTTGGACTGCAAGCAGCCAAGCAGCCTTGTCTGCATAGAGGAGATAATTAAAATAGATGGTGCCAGTATGCTTTGGAGCTGATGATTATATGAGATAGGAAAAGCAAAAGATTTGGAAAAACAGTGGATTATTTACGCAACTTAAGTCATGTACGCAGTCTGTGTAAAATTATAAACAGGAAGGTTATTAGTAACATGCACATGCATGTTTGGAGTCAGCAGTTGATGTTGTCTGCATGGTTTTATGAATGATGAAAATGCTTTACCTGCTGATGCTGCTGTTCTCTTTGTACTCCCAGCAGGCAGTAGTTTCTTGTTCTAAAGGAAAAATATGCAGGATTTTTCTGTCCTCTGAAATACTAACTGTACATCTAATATCAGCCTATAAATTTGTTTTGGATGTTTGATTCTGCAGTTCACTGTATTGTTTTTTAACTTGTCTCTCAACTGTGTCTATTGCATCACCTTAACTAACTTCAGGCTGATTTCCACTGAAACATTTTTCGTCCCAGAATTATTAGCATTTCTATGGAATAAATATTTGTCAGTGTCAGGACTTGTGTAAGTGCATAAGAATAATAAAAAATCTGTTATCTCAGTAAGGAGTGTGCTTGCTGCCCAAGTATCTTTTTTTTTTTTTTTGTACCTGGTTTGTTGGTTTTTGGACACTTTGTTGTAAGTGGCAAGACTTTAAAAACTCTCCATCTTTAAGTCAGACTGGCTCTTCCAGCCAGGATTCTTCAGTTGCATCTGTTTTCGCTCATGCTCAATCTTGCTCCTTGCACATGCCTTTTGTCTGTCTCTGCTGCTTAAAAACTGAGATCTGTCTTGAGTGATGTGTGCTTGTAAAATTCCATTGAAAAAATGCATCTACACTTGGCAAAAGGATAAATATTTAAATACAAGTACATGGAAAAGGACAAAGTTAATGACCTACTTGATGTACATACCTGTAGCAATACCACAGTTTCTGCTGTCAAAACAAAGTTGTTTTACCTAGCTAATTGTTTATTCTGTGTCATGAATTACTGGGATACTATTGTAAGAGTTTACTTGTGGTTAAGCACATGACAATCCCATGTCTCTTAAAAGTGGAATCAAGAAATTTTGCTGATTGATCAGAGAACAGTTTTACCATAAATGTATTTTAATTAATATATTGGCTAGCTGTTTATAGAGTTGTTTCTCTTATCTGCAAAGGTTGTGCAACAACCTAATGAGCAGCTGCATGATAATATGCCTTGTGTGAACTGTGAACTTTATGACCTATGGCTTTTGTAATCCTAGGACCACACAGAAGAGAGGAGAATCATTTGGAATCAGCAAAATAGGGAACAAAATAAAGGGTGTATTCAAGAGTTCTGCAATGGAAGGAGCTATGTTGCCTAACTATAACTTAAATGAAGGAGAAGATGACTTTGTGAGTAAAACCATTACTGCTGTTGTCAGTTTTCATGTGCTGGCTTCTGATTAATTTGCCTTATCTTCACTGTATTCATTCATAAGCCAAGGTCACACCCCCAGTTTCTGTGCTTCTGAGCTTATTGTTTTAGTATGGAGAGGTACCAAATGTAGTAGTGTCAGATATTTTTGTAAGCAATGACTTTTTCTCCAATTCTGAGTAGTAAGGCTTGCACAAGACTTCATGCAGGGCTCTTCATCTGCAGCCTGTCACAAGAAATTAAAACCATAAATAATATAGTGGAGAAATTGCTGTTGAGTTGGTCTGTGATGCAGCATTTTCTCTATAGATCAGGAGCCTGTTGTCCTTTCTCATTTGCCTTGGATGTCTCAAGTCAGTGTTTTTCTTCTATACTAAACAGTCATGAATAGAGCCAATGGTAAAACCACAGCTGGGGGATGAATGCAAAACTTGAAAAAGGGAGGAGGAAGGAATTGGTTAGAAACAGAGGTAGACTGTACCAATTAAAATAGAGCTGGAGATCTCTGTGCCTGATTCCTTACAGATTGAAGAAGGTGTTATGGTGATGGAAGATGATTCTCCCGAGGAGGCTGTTACCACCCCGAATACACCCCGCAACCTGGCTGCGTGGAAAATCAGCATCCCATATGTTGATTTTTTTGATGATCCCTCCTTGGAAAGAAAAGACAGAAAAGAGAGAATTCCTGTATTCTGCATTGATGTAGAGAGAAATGATAGGAGGGCAGGTATGCAATGTTGCAGAAAAATAAAGTGGCATTTGAAAGTGAACTCAGAATATTCTAGTGTGCCGTATTCTGATGGCTTTTTCAGCGTGTTTTGTATATGTATTTTTCTGATTTCAAAATAATGGCTTGAAAGTTCCAAGAAAATGAGTTTGAGAAATAAATGATCACATTTAGTGTTTGCAGGCTGAGAACTGACTCCTCAGCATGAATCAGTTCTATTTAGACTTCATGCCAAAGTTTGAAATGTTCTCTTTCCAAAAATACTTACCTTAAAATTCATATTAATAAACACCTGGAACATTTTTTTTTCATCCACTCTGAACTTTGGAATAATGAACAACAAGTAAGTTTTTATATAAGCTTAAAATCAGTTCTTAGGAAATGAAAATGTTTTGCTTGTTAGGATCCATTGTGGCTTGCAGTTAGTTTAACAGTGTCTAGATAGCAATATGTCCATGTGGAGTGGGGAAAAACAGCAAAATCCTAAGGCTGCTGGGATTTGTGTTAGTGAGACTAATACTTCCACAATAAGCAGTATTTAAGAGGCATTTAGTGATATCTTCAGTGATAGGATTAAGAATGATCAGCATTCAAGCTAGTGGTGTAGAGGACTGTATTCAACAAGTGCTATTTCTGTAATTCATTTGGATAGAAGTTTGAAAATAGATCTAATATAGTCAGCCATCTTAAATGTTAAAGTTATGCAGCACTCCATTGTTTAAATTGCAGGGATCCCATAAATGAGGTGATAATTTCCTTGCTAGTACCATATCTGTCTACCAGTTATGCATTTTACTGTAGCACTAAAAGTACCTTAAAGTTTGTTACTACAACAGGGTGGGGGGCTAATGTAATTCAGGTTTTTCTTATCGTAATCCAGCATACGTTTGCTGTTGCTAATTTTGTCTCTCAGGTGTCATAAAACATGGTTTGTTTTTAATTTTTTTTTTTTTTTCTCCAGTTGGACATGAACCCGAACACTGGTCTGTCTACAGGAGATATCTTGAATTTTACGTGCTTGAATCAAAGCTTACGGAATTTCATGGTATGTTCATCATTTAAAAAGCCGTTTTCCCCCTGCTGTGATTACCATTCATTACTTAGATGAAATTTAAAATACTCAGTGCTTACTGCATTGCAAGTATAATTTAATCTCCTTGATATCTTTATTAGGTACATTTCCTGATGCTCAGCTTCCATCAAAGAGAATCATTGGCCCCAAAAACTATGAGTTCTTAAAATCCAAGAGAGAAGAGTTTCAGGAATATCTTCAGGTATCAAACAGACATTTGGAGCAAAGAATATTCTAAAACTAATTATATGAAACTAAAAAAAAAAGAATATCTGGGGTTTTTGGTTCATTTATTTCCAAGTAACTTTATAGTTAGAGAAAGGATGCAAGTGGGCAACGTTAAAGTTTCACATGACTGAAAACAGAAATCTCTTGCAAATGGCAATATATGTGGCAATATAATGCTTCTTGAATATCTTTTTGCTATGCAGAGACAGATTTTTAAAGATTAATTTAAAAGTACTTATATTTCTTCTGTTCCTTCTGTCTCAAAGAAACTTCTTCAGCATCCAGAACTAAGTAACAGCCAGCTTTTAGCTGACTTCCTGTCCCCTAATGGAGGAGAGACTCAGTTTCTTGATAAAATGTTGCCTGATGTGAATCTTGGTATGTAATATACTACTTCTTTATGCTGACAAATAATAATGCCATGGATGCTGTGATTGAATTCTGTGGTTCTGTGAATGCCAGTAGTAATGAATAGGTAACTCTTGGTAATGTAGGAAGTAAGAACTCTGCTCCTTCACAGCCCTTAAAATTATAGCTCAGCAAGTAGGATACACTGATACTTCTTCCTTGAAGAAAAAAAAGACATTTTGAAATTTTGGTAAAAAGTGTTCTAAGTGGTTGCTTTTGAATTTTTGTGTCAGCAAGCAAGATGATAAGGTTTCTCTTAAAAACTTCATTGTTCAAGAAAATTTCTGGTATTGTCACAAGTCAAATCCGCGTGTGTCCGTCATTGTTTGTAGATGAGATGGCATAAACACTTACAAGACTACCTTTGGATTTTAATTTATTAACATCCTCTTATTTTATTCTGAAAACTACAATATTTTATATTTCTAGTATTGGTTGGTGTTAGGATCTTTTCCAACATGAGCTACTTAATAGAATTCGAGGCAGCAGTGTGTGTGATACAGGCAGGTCAAATGGAAATGGAGAAATTCTAATGTCTAATGACAGTAGTTCATAATAAATAGAAAAAGTCAACTGTAGTGTGACTTGGCAGCAATGTAGCTGTCTCAGAATAGTGGCCCTGAGCTGGTCAGGTCAACTTTATGGCCATTCTGTCTTCATGTTTTGTGCCACTTGTGTCAGTGTGGTCGCAGAGAGCCGTGTCTGAGCTGTGCCGCTGCATTTCTGCAGCTCCTGGTCGCAGCGTTGTCCTGCTGGGGCAGCCCTTCTCTTAATCTGCTTCATCAGTTGTTGAGTGGGATTTCTGTTCTCAGCCTCAAGTCAAAAGAATTGTTTTTGGTTTCAGGTCGTCCTTCTAGATCCAGCCATACATAATTATGGTGTTTACACTGGTGCACTTCTTACCTGAAACTGTGCTTCAGTTCCATAAAGGGCATTATAACTAGTCTTGGCATTTCAGCAGGGTTTTTTGTGAGGATGAGAGTTTTTATTGTTACCATTTGATCATTGTACATATTTTCTGATGTAAATTCCAAATTTAATTACATGTAGATAAGAAAAATATTACTGTAACTGTAGTACTTAAAATAAAGCCATTCCTAGACACTTCCATTTTGCAGCATTCAAAGTCACTGTGCCGTATCCTGATAGCCTTATCAGGACACAAGAGCTGATTGTTAAGGCCACATCTGTAACCTGTCCAATTCAGAAAATTTTACTCACCAGGGATTTGGGGCTGGCTCCACCCAGAATCTCTCCAGATTTGCTGATTTTTCCACAGAAAGAACAGAATCTGAGTTGTCTTGATTTCTTCTGTGGTAAATGTTTATGATTCTATACAGGGAATTTTGCCTGTGCTGGTGTTGTAGCAGTACTGCTGTTACTATGCTAGAGCTAATTATGTTTAAACTCTTCTAGAGTTAAAAGGTAGATCTACAGTACTTAGTTGTGGAGTTTTTTTAAAGGTGTCCAGATTAATAATCTGTATGTTTTTAATGTCTTTTAATGGTTTTTAAATATCTTTTCTTGAAGAGTACTAATCACTGCTACAGGCTGGTTATGTGCAAGACTATTTTCATAGGATTTTGTGCCAAATGAAAAAAAACCAAGCAGATTTTTAAAAATTATTGTATTTTTAAATAACTACTAGACAATAAGTACATAAAATCTAGCAGAGCAAAATGTCTTTCAAATCAGTCATAACAGAAAGTGTTTGTTTCTAATTATAGGTAAAATCATAAAATCTGTTCCAGGAAAGCTAATGAAAGAGGTAAGTCTTTCAGGTTGCCAGTATCTTAACTTAATTAGTTAATTTTACAAGACTACTAAATTACAGGCTAATCAAAACTTCGTTTGAAAATTCTTTTTTTGTTTTCCACTTTCCTATAATTAAGCAAGTGACAGGTCACTCATATCTTTTTTTCAGAAAGGTCAGCATTTAGAACCATTCATCATGAATTTTATCAACTCCTGTGAATCTCCCAAGCCTAAACCATAGCAAGCTGTCTTAGAACTCATTAACTAAAATTATTTCAGATGAAGCCAAGCTGGGAAATGCTGTCTAGGAATGCAGACACTGAGGGTATTCAGTCCAAAGGCCAGACCAAAGGTAGACTGGAGTAACATTTTCCTACTCCTCTGATACATGTGGCATGGACTTAAGTTGTTCAGTTCTGTGCTTCCACTTCTGTTGTGAGATACGACATCTTTGTGAAGATGTGCAGCCTTCCAGTTCCTGAGGGGAGCCTACAAGAAAGATGGAGCGGGACTTTTACAAGAGCATTTAGTGACAGGACAAGGGGAAATGGAACTGAGAGTAGGTTTAGATTACATATTAGGAAAAAATGTGTGTGAGGTTGGTGAAGTGCTGTAACAGGTTGCTCAGAGAGGTTGTGGATTCCTCGTTCCTGGAATGCCAGGTTGGATGGAGCTCTGAGCAGCCTGGTCTAGGGAAAGGTGTCCCTGCCCATGGCAGGGGGCTGGGACTAGGTGATCTTTGACATCCCTTCCAAGGCAGTCCATTCTGTGATTCTGTGTGGTAGCTGCTGTGCAGTAGTGAGGCACCTCACTGCTGGTGAAGGAGGTGAATGCCAAATGTCTGTACCAGGACTGTGTGAGCTGCCTGTATGGAGTTCGTATGGAGATCTGGCAGGCAGCCAAAGAGATAAAAGGTTAGCACTTCCTGAGTGCTCATCTGTGACAAGAACATGCAATTCAATTTTTTGATAAGTGACAGTCTATTTCCAGCTAATGCTTGTATTGCCACCGTGTGTCTTTTCTGAGACAGGTCTGTTTGTTTGAGTTTTAGCACTTTGGACTGGGCTCAGATGACAATGCACATTCCCCCGTGCTTGTGCTGCTACAAGTGGGGTACATGCAGGCTCCCTCCTCCTCAGCAGACTGCCTAAGAAATCCCTGAAGGTCTGTCTGGGCAGGCTCAGTCAGAAATGTGCCTAATGCTCTGACTGATCTTCATGCTCCTTCCTTTTGAATACTCCTGAGGCATGTGTATGTTTGTCTGTTTTAGATACTGGTGGAAAGATGTCCAGTTAAAAATGCACAGTGAATGTGGGTAGTCAACCCCAGTATAATGAGGAGCAATTGGATTTAATTTGGTCTCAGATCCACTAGAACAAGAGTTACCAACCTGCTTCGTTGAAAAAGAACCAGTAGTTTTTATCCTGGTTAAAAAAAAACCAAGTGAACAAAAAGCTCTTCTTCCCCCTCCTAGGGGCACTAGCAGGATTTCTGGCCATATTTCTGTTCTGAAGGTCTGTAAGCAGCTTGATCATCTTCTGAACATACTTTTGTCAGACTTGCTATAATAGGTCAGGACTTCTCAGCTGATGCAGACTTTGCAAAATATGCCAATAAAGGCATTGTTCTGCTGGCTTGTGATGGCCTGCCAAAAGCAATAAAAGCTGTTTCTGGAGCACCAGCACTATAATACATGTTTTGGAGTAGCTGCTTAGAGGAAGATGTGGTCACTTACACTGACTGATAGGATTCAGACACTGTATACAGTCTTTCTTCTTACCATTTTGGTATAATCCTCTGTACTTTTTAAATGAGCAGGAAGAGCAGGAGAGAGGTTTATGCCTCTGGCAGTAGATATTGTTGATAGTCATGGTATTGTTTTTGTGCAGTTCACACCTGTGCTGCTGGAGTGTATGGGTATATGTTTGCATATGCGCTCGGCATTGAGTAACTTTTTTTCCTGTGAGGCACTTTATATGAGCATTCATGCTTCCTTTGTTTGCTTTTCCCAATAAGGTATGATAGCCTATTGTACTGTAAATAAATACTAAGGGATTACTTTGGTCTTTTTCTAAATACAGGCCTTTTATCTTTCACTGACTTCAAGGGCTTGATTCCCATTATTAATCAATACTAATTCATGTAATTTCCTCATTGTAAACCTTTTACAAATATTTTGTGGTTATAATTTTAATTACTGTTTAATCTTTAAAGATTACCTAATGATAGCATTGAGGTTTGTGGTGTTAGTCTCAAATATTAACACGCACAGAAACATCTAAAGCAAAATCCTGTGCTTATCTGAATTGTGAGTATAATCTCAACTTCTGTACTAAATAACCAATTGTGTGTTTTTCACTAGAATTTCTCCTGAGCCAAGATACTGGAAAGTGTAAAACATGGAAGTAGAGGTCTAAAGCCATTTAGTATTATGGCTTCTGCAGTGCATTAATGCACTGCAGATTGCATTCTGAAATGCTTTCAGAGTGCGCCTCTGATCAAGGAATTGTTACTGTTTAAGGTGCAACACAGATTATCCGTGTATGGACGTACAGTCAGCATTCAGAAGACACTGTTTCTGGTTTGGTATGAAAGTGGAAATCACACTTGAAAGTCAAAAAGCTTTGCCTTAAGCTGGCCTTCATGTTTGATTTTTTTATAGGTTACCTACCAGATTGCTATTAATGATTTAGTTTGGCCTCCAGACACTGCTCTGAACCTATATCTACACTGCACAATGGGCTGCTTTGAGTTGGCTCAGTATGTATCACCTCTGTCAGGTCATGGGGTGGAGGCTCTTGTTTAAGTTACAATACTACAGCTAAGGTTTTACTGCTGTTCTGGTTTCAGTATTTAGGAGGATGTAGTCTTCAGTTCATACAGAGTGTTTTAAACAACCTACCAGGGATGCTTCCATAAAACAGGTGTGAATAGTTACATGTTCTTTTTAGGTTTGTTACATTCCTGGATACCAGTCATCCACCAAAGCATTAGCCATATTTGTCCTATTATTTAATTTATGTAATAAGTTGATGTTGTTTAATTTGAGTGAATATTGTGCAGGTAATAGCAGCAGCTTAGCACTTAACAAAAGAGAGGGCCTGAAGGAATACACGTCAAAAATGTGACTCTTGCCAGATATCCTGATGTAATTTTTCCTAAGAGTGCAAAGCATTCTCTTTAGAGACTTGCATGGTTCAGAGATCATTGTGATCTGCATGTTTTGGGCTTTATTTATTTTGGGGAGAATTGCAGTACAGAATGTGAACCACATACAAGCAAATTACTTCCTTGGAACTAATCCTTGGAACTAATGTCATTTTGGGAGTGGTAAAAAAACCCTTCTGAGTGGCAATCACCTCAGCCTAGGCGATTCTATGATTATGTTGCATTTTCTTCTAGGTCTAATATTTTTTTTAGAACCCTGACGTAAAGTTTTGAACTTTTCATAATACAGAGTATTTTGTGTAAGTCCTATTTTATATCTAGACATAACTGGTTTTGGGGTAAGTTAATTTAAAATAAATTGCTAGCTAGGGATTGCTAGGTATTGAACATGGAAAGCATCAGGATTTAGAGACTTTTTCCTTTCCTTCTGTTGGGATTCACAGACTTGGGGGCAGGAGAGGTAAGGGCTACTACCGAAGGTGGCTTGGGTCCCCTTTTGGTGTGCTGAGAAGAGCCTCTTGGAGTTTTGCAAGAATTAGAGTATCTTTTCAGAAAGAACCAAAAGCAAGGAAATAGAGAGATCAGGGAGGAAGGTGATGATGTAGAGTAGAAGTCTAAAGGAATATAATTGAGAAATAAGAAAAATGTAAAGAAGCCCAAATATTAATTCATAAAGATTTTACTATAAATTATTAAGCTGGCAGGGGAAGAAGCTATTTCTCTATCTAAAAAACTTGTATATTTTGTCTAGAAGCCATTGTATTTCTTTCAAAGTGGAAACTTACAGGAAGTTTTAGGAATACTTTGATGTTATAGGCTTCCCTTGTGGTTTAAGGCAGAAAACTCTGTATCCACTTAGCCCCTCATTTTCAGAAGAGGGTACATCAAAGAAATCATAGCCTGTGATAAAAGTCTAGATGCTTACAATGACACAATTGTTTAGATTGGAAGAAGGCAGTGGGAGCAGAAAGGCTCACAAATTAATGTCATAGTGCTGACTTGTTCTGAACCCAGGTATTTTGGTTCTTGTGTATCATGGCAACATGTGATGTGCTCTTTATTGGAAAGTGAAAGACATGAAAAACAAAACCTGAAACAAATTAACACCCCATATCAGTTCTTTGAAAGCTCTGGAAAGAAGCTACTTCTATAAAAAGAAACCAACCCAAAGAACTGCTGGCTATCCTTTTGCCTTTGAATGCAGTGATTTCAGTCTTATGTTTCTGTTTTTAGCTTTTTAATGATTTATTCAAGAATAATGCAAACCGGTCTGAGAATACAGAAAGACGACAAAATCAGAACTACTTCATGGAAATGATGACTGTAGAAGGAGTCTATGACTACTTAATGTATGTTGGTAAGAAGTGATTTCTCTTAATTATTCATATACTTCATGCCAAATACGAAGTTCACAGTCTCTGGTAAGAAATGAAATTCTGCTGTACCAGTCATATATAACTCAACGAGTTCAAGCTAATATGCAACTTAGTAACGTGGTCATTCCTTAGAAGACTATTGTGGTGCTAAAATGTAATTTATCATTCATCATTTCTTAGTTGCTTTGTTATGTCTCCATCTTTCTGCATCTCAGTAGCATGAGTTTATGAGAGTAGGTCTCATCCCTTTTCTCAGGTCTAGGCTGCTGGTAGACTCTGGGAACTGGAATTGTTAAATTAAAAGGAATAGCTAAAGGAAGTATTTGATAAGCACTGTGGAGAATATTGGTATTTTCAGTGGTGCACTAACAAAACTGAAATATTATTTTCTTGCTTGCAATCTTTTTTTTTTATTATTTTTTATTTTTAATAAATTATGATCTTATCATGAATATTAGGAGACCCTCATATATGTTACTACTCATAGATGTTGCTGTGACTTTCCAGGTAGGGTAGTTTTCCGCATTCCTGACTGGCTGCATCATCTCTTGATGGGAGGAAGAATTCTCTTCAAAAATACATTGGAACTTTACACAGACTATTACTTGCATAACAAGTTAGAACAACTATTTGAGGAGCACCGGCTGGTTTCTCTGATAACACTGCTGAGAGGTCAGTAATAGTTACATCTTTGATAAAAAAATACTGCTTTAGTCTGGTGTTTGAAATCTCTTCAGTGAAGTTGCTGAGTGCTATACTTTGCAATGCTGACTAACACTGGTGGAGTATTAAAAATCAAGTGAGCCTGGACTAACTTGAAAGCTTGTGGAAAGATGTTGAGTCACATATGTTGTCTGTCAGTGATGATTACAGAAGAAAAGCATTATGAATAGTAATTGCTCGGGTGTGCAAAGAACAAGAGAAACATAGTAAAGGTGGTTCAGTGTATCAGCACAAATGTTTCATGAAGTCATCAAGTTACTTCACTTGTGTACTACATCAGTCTTCTATTGTTAATTATTTTGTTTCCTTTGTTGTGGTTGGCTCTTGAGTGGGCTAGAGTGTTCCTCACTTTCAAGTAAGGGAAGGGGAGAGTGACTAAAAAAAATTTTTAAATTACCTTGCAACTGTAGCGTATTACCTGACTGCGGTCTGATCCTAACTATGCATCTGGCCAAAACTCTGGAGTCAAGACAGCTCTGTCCTTATCAAACCAAAAATGAAGCTTGTGAAAGGCAAAAAAGGAGTGCAGTAAGGCTTTCAGAGCCTAAGACCAGAACTGAGCACCTGTTATGTCAGATGAATAATAATTCTTGCCTTCTCATTCATAGGTAAATTCGAAGTTTTTGACAGTTCCAGACAGTGCTTTAGCACAACGTGTAAACACTGCTTATAGTTTTGAAAGCAGAAGGGAAATTGTGAGTAGGGAGATCATAACTAACCTAAAGTAGAATTGATCCAAACTTAGGAGAGAATGCTTTAAACTTTGAAATGAATGGAAACAAATTGTGTAAAGATGATTGTCCTTCAAACTGGGGTGGTATTCTGGATTTGATGGGACTAATGTGAGCAAAAAGTATGACAAGACTAGAATTCCCTTCATATGAACACAATACAGAGAAGAGGTTCAGTTTTGAAGCCACAATCCAAAACTCATTTCTGTGTCAGTGATGTGTAGCTGCCTAAAGATATATTTTTTTTCAATGTGTCTTCGCTGCAGATGCCGTGTTCTGTGAGAACACCGAGCCTCGCTCTCCCCAGGATAAACAGAAACGAGCAAAGCAGACTTTTGAAGAAATGATGAAATATATTCCAGGTTCTGTATTCCATGACTGCCTCTATGAGTGTGGTTAATTGTTCAAGCAGATATTTAACCCAAATACAGTCATACTATCTTTCCAAATCAAATAATACTTGGGCTGCTGAGATTTGAGTTGACTGGAATACCAGGTATAAAAATCCAGCAGCTCAGTTTTTTCATTTAATTGTTGCTGACTGAGGTTGTAACATAGTGATTATTAAAGACATGGTGATGGAAATAAAGAGCTTTACACATCTGCTTAATACCATAATTTTTCATCTTTAAATGCTCCTACAATTTGTATTTTATCCAGATGAAAAGTGTATTAAAAAAGGCACATGATTAAGCTGGAAGGTAAATTTGAGCTCTCCTTGCACTGTATAAACTAGGAAAAAGGGGACCATTTAATTGAGATTAATTCTAAAAAATCAGCTTGGGGTTTATTAAATATTGCATTAAAATAAATTTATGCATTTATATTATAAAAACATTTATATTATAAAAAGTGTAGTAATTATTTAGGTGTGGAGCCCTGAAGGAAAGGGAGTAGAAAAGGATGAACCCAAAAGAGTGGTTTGCTTTTTTTTTCTTCCATTTGAGACAGAAAAAAAATTGAACTCTTACTTTAATTTAAGCAGGTTTTTTCTTGTTAATTAACTAGAGTTGTATAACTACATCATAAATCTGCTTTGCAGTGCTTCCTCATGACATGTGTATTTGTTTTTGGAATTTGGTCTAGATTTAATAGGCAAGTGCATTGGGGAAGAGGCTAAATACGAAGGCATCAGGCTTCTGTTTGATGGACTGCAGCAACCAGTGCTCAACAAACAGGTAACTCATAACATGTGTCAAATTTGCCTTCTGGCACAGGACTTCCTGAAGTGATTGATATAGCAGAAGAGTGAGCTGTTACTCAGAATTAAGAATAAAAAAGCCTTGGTTTTGCCTTGGCGTGTCCTTAATTTTCTGTATTTTCTTTTAGTTAACTTATGTTCTGCTGGACATTGGGATTCAAGAGCTCTTTCCAGAGCTGAGTAAGGTATGTGCTAACTCCATAGAGAGCTGTAGAATTCTTCAGGCTGCTACTGAGTTTGGTCACTGGTGCATTTTTGCTGTTGTTCTCAATTCCTAATATTAATTCTGAATTTTGGAGAAAAGGGGTGTTTTTCCAGTATGTCGAAATAATTGAAATCTGGATTACGTACATTTTGGATAATTAGCTCTTTCTGAGTCAGCTCGGGCCCATTTGTTTAGCATGCAGCAAGTCTGAGCTGCCTTTCAGTAGACTTGGACAGATAACAGCATTTGGGATCTCTGTGCCTTTCTCTTTGATTGATTTGTCTCCGCTCTTTTTTATGCATTTCCCAATTTAGGAAGGGAATTCTGCATGCAAAACTCAGGTCAAGCTGCAGCATTTTTCTTGAGAATATCTGGCAGGAGGATTTCTTACCTCTAGTTTGGTCACTGCAATGTTAACTTCAGCTATCCAAATAAAGGAGAAAGGATTTGCACAGCAGAAATTGCTGTATAAATGCATATCATTAGGTTTGGGATCTGTCTGATATTTGTACTTATGTATATCAAACCTTCACAGATTTTTACACAGTAATTTTAGTTTAGTCTTCATGGCAAGCAGGAAGATGCCTGCTAGTTAGCTAGTAAAAAACAAAACCCTAAACAAGTTAGGAAAGCCCCCTCACTAGCAATAGATGTTTGTTGCATGAACCCTGTGCCTGAGAACTGTGGAGTTCCAGCAGCAATTTTTTTTGCATGACAAACAGAAACAAGTGCAAGCTAGTGGAACAAGCCAGGACACTTCCACTGTTTTCAGTGAAATGAGGCTGGCTCAGCAAGTCTGACCTACTTTGTGCTTCAGCTCTGTAGCTGCCCTCCTCAAGCCAGTGCTCAGACAGCTAAAAACAGGTGAAAGAGGACCCAGCTGACTGAGGAAGTAGCCTGGGAACTTGAGTGCAGAAAAAAAGACCTGACTTAGCCCTGCTGTTTTACTCTGCTGAACTGGTTTTGTATCTCAGCAGCTAATTATATATAGGTATTGGAACATAATCTTCAGTTGATTATGGAAAAAAATGAGTGGCATTTAGATAGTCTTTAAAGTATCAGTCAGGCCCAGAGAGTGGTGATCAATGGAATGAAGTCTAATTGGAAGCAGGCCGGTAACAGGGGAATTATCTAAGGGGTCACTGGTGGCTCCAGTCCTGTTTAACATCTTCATTAATGACGTGGATGATGGGACAGTGTGCAAAGGCTGATGATGACACAAAACTGGGAGGAGTGGCTGATGCACCAGAGGACCATGCTACCTTCCAAAGGGACCTAGCAGGCTGGAGAAACAGAGTAGCAGGAACCTCATGAACTTAACAAAGGGAAGTGCAAAGTCCTCTTCCTGGTGAAGAACAACCCCAGGTGCCAGGATGGGCTGGGGGCAAGCCAGCAGGAAAGACACAAAGTTGGAGAAAAGGCTGATGGTATCCTGGGCTGCAATAGGAGCAGTGTTGCCAGCAGGTTGAGGGAGGTGGTGCTGCCCCTCTGCTCAGCACTGGTGGGGCCACACCTGGGGTACTGTGTCCAGGTCTGGGCTCCCCAGTACAAGATAGGTATGGACATGCTGGAATGAATCTGGTGGAGAGCCATGAGGATGATGAAGAAACTGGAGCATATCTCCTATGAGATGGGGCTAGAGAGCAGGGACTCTTCAGGCTGGAGAAGAGAAAGCTCAGAGTGTCTTGATGATGTCTATAAACACCTGAGGGGATGGTACAAAGTGGACAGAACAAGTGGTGCCCACTAACAGGACCAGTGGCAACAAGCACAACCTGAAACACCAGAGGTTCCCTCTGAACATCAGCACTTCTTCACTGTGAGGGTGACCAAGCACTGTCACAGGTTGCCCAGGGATGCTGTGGGATGCTCATCCTTGGAGATATTTAAAAGCTGTCTGGACAATGTTTTTGTAGTTACAGTGAAGAATGGAAAAACATTTCAGTCAGTCAGCTTTTAAAGGGGAAACTGAACATCCCAAAAGTTTTGTTCTGAGCACTGCTCCTTTGGCAGGGAAAAGAGTGATGGGAGAAATGGGAAGATTTTCCTTAGTGGGGATGTCAGTCTGCTTCCCACTCTTGAGATTGGTATCTTGAAGGTATTTCCTGCTGCACGTTCCAGTGCGGATATATGCTGGATCACTTGATGTGTGCTGTGTTTGATGGCAGCATGAGTAAGTGAGCAAGCTCCAAGAGCTGAAAAACTCCTCTGAGATAGTTTACAGCCCGTCCCTTGGGAGTCTGTCAGACAGGATACAAGGAAAAGGGACAGTTGAAAGGGAAAAGAAGTATTCTGAGCAGAGTAAGGAAAGAAATCCAGTTGAAAAAATATCTCTCCAATACTATTTATCCAGAGCAGAAAATTGCTGTGTTAAGAAAACTGTATATAGCAGTTAGGAATGGGGGAGGTGAGACCTTGTAGAGAAAGAAGAAAACATCTATTTTAAGAAATAGTACTAAAACCCAGTAGCCTTCTGTCTTCTTAACTCTGGTTTTAAGTGGATGTTTTCAGATACCATTAATCATTGCAGCTCATTTCAGTCATTTCCATGTAAATACACATTTTCAAACTTAGTAAGTAAATTTCCCCCTTTTCCTGTTTAACAGGGTCCAAAGGAAGCAAGCTCTGTGTCAAGCTGGATGTGAGTGAACACACATTTGGATCTGCTGTGCACTGTTTAATGGACATGTGACATTTTAACATTGCCTTGTATATTTTGTTGTAAATAACTTAAATTTTAAGTTAAAAAATACCTTTATGCAATAAAGACATTAAAATTTAATACCAATTGTAAGTAAATAAAATGTCTGTACTTTTTATTTATTTTAGCTGTTACCAGTAAAAGTCTTAATTGATTTCACAAAAATCTCTCAGTGTATGAAATTACAGGATGACATCAAAAAAGACAGCTGGGCAATCAGCCAATGTACATTTTGCTAAAAGAGCAATTACTGGGTGTTTTCCTGAAAGGATATGTAGAAAATCTGTAGAATACTCCCATTATTTTAAAATGTCTTAACAAATCTTTTTTCTTTTTTTTTTTTTTTTTTTTTACAACAGAAGTATATGATTGAATCTATTGAATACAAATAATTAATCTCAGAACTGTCTTTAGCCTTCATCTTACTGTGACCATGGAAAATCACATTGGTAATTTAGTCTTTTTAATACCTGAGCTTCAAATCTAAAGCGCTCCTAAAATAGTAAGGGATGTGAGAATGGTTTTGACTTTGCCTTTTCTGCAGTTTCTTATCTGGTTTTGTGGGGTTTTTTTCTGACATCCTCTTTACAGGCTTAGAAAAGAGGATGTTAGCCTGTTCACAGCATTTTATAAAAATTCATTCATATAAAAATATGTGGAAGATTTTTCTCTGTAAATCTTAATTTGCTGGTCCAGCCTTTATAAAAGATTTTGAAAAAGCCTTTTATGAGTGGATTTTTAACAAGTTTTACTCATAAAACAATACATAAATACATATTAAAGTAATGCTTACTTTAATAGCTTTCCTCATTTTTTTGTTTCAAACACCCATTTTCTCATTTTAACAAACAAACCAATCTAATGCAGCATGGGTGTTCTTTGGCAGTATAATTTGTCTGTATTACTATTGCAAACCTTTCCCTTCTGTTTGCCAAAGGAAGGTAAAAGTGCTACTTCTCTCCCTTCTGCCTCTGCCAAAGCAGTTGCTGCAGCTCTGAAAATTGGTGTGCAGGTACAGCTCTGTCCATCAGTGCCCTCTCTGTTACTGGTTTGATGTTGATATGGGGATGATCATGCTGTTAATTAACAACTTGGGGAGTAATAGTGACAAATCATCAGTTCCAGGGCATGACTCGTAGTGTGTCAAGGGCAGTCATCGTTTGTCTCCCTGTTCTTACCACCCCTTACCTAATGCAGCAGTGTAGTCCAGAGCCCTTCAGGCTTAAATCCTTGAATGAATATAGAAATTAATGGAGTCTTTAAATTTCAACATACTGAAATGTTTATCTTAATGCACCTTCTCCTTGAAATCTACAGGTGCAGGGAATGAAAGCTTCAGTGTTGAAAAAGAGTGTAGTGAGCTTTCCAGGAATACAAATCAGGTTTATTCAAAACACTTACAATCAGTTTTAAACAGCATTAAACAATCCAAACATGTTGATGTCAAAATTCCCTGTAATCTTAGAAAAATATTTTTTCCCTCATTTATAAGCAATCATTTTCTTGATAAAGCATCAGCAATGTACATTTAGCATTTAATCTGATTTCATACCCATTAGCCTGTCTCTTACAACTATTTTTTTAAACACAGCCTTCCCATAGAAGAGGTATAATCACAGTTATCATAAAACCAGGTCATGCTGTAAAAAGCCCCATTACCTGACTATTTCCAAAGGATGCCAAATGTGCTGCAGGATCAATGTCTATATCTGACATTTTCTTGGAATGTTGCTAATACAGAGTGATGGGCAGCAGTCCTGTGCATTGTTCTTTGGAAGAGGTGTAAAATTGACATTTTTATATGAAATACAGTCCCAGATTCTGTTCTCACTCTAGATACAATCCCCCAAACTGGTGAAGAATATTTTAGAGTGAAGAATACTCAATTTATTAAAATTGATCAAAATCAAGTCAAGCTTTCATTGAATCCTTTATTAATGGAAAATATATTTCTTTTTCAAAAGTAAAACAAAAACTTTAAAATTGCATATCAAATAGACTTCATGATTTTAATGGCTCTGAGTTTAATCCAGCTCTTTAAGGCATTCATGTAGGTATCATAAGTGATTGCAAGCAAAGTAGAGATATTAGACTGAATACCTTAACCCTGAGTGGAGATCAAAGAAAGGAATATACATCTATAAAAAATCCATTTCTAGAAGCTTATTAACATCTGGAATCAGGTTCACTGTCTATCACAGGTAAAAAGAATTTGAAAATTTATAATACCTCATTTTAGTCTGTCATTGTTTTATGATTGAGCAGTAAGTATTCACTGGAACTTTGCTTTTGAGACCTCAGTTTCAGGTACCTGCTGATTCTGACCAAGAGAAGCCATGGATTCTGTCCCCTTGCCCTGCACACAGTGCTCCAGTGGCACCACAAGGTCAAAGACAATGCCAGGGGCTGCTCACTGCTGACATGCAGCAACCTCACTGCTCATTCATTGTAAGGTGTAACAGAAGAGAACAGCTCTCACAGCTTCGTCAGTATCATCTTGCCTCCTGTTTTCCTCCAAACACAAAATCAAGTGTGCAAGAATGTTACAGTGAACAATACAGAGATCAGGGAGAGACTTGCTTCGATAAGATTTCCAGAAGAAAATTTTATTCGACCTTCAACTGCTGGGTAAACTCTCTTCATTCTCTGGAGGTAGCGGGAAACAACTTCAATGTCAGGTTCACCTAAAGAAACAAACAAAAAAGTGTTCTCTGTCTTTGCCAAGCTCTCAACCAAAATGTAAGGACTTGCCTAAATTCCAGTTTTAGTTCAAGAATCAAATTGTTTTCTGTGGCTTACCGTTCTGAATTAGCGCACATCACCTCTGGTAGTTTGTAGCCAGAATTTTTGGTAGTAACTTGTATTTTACAAACAAACAATTTCTTTTTATTTTGTCCGGCTTGTTTTGTTTTGAATTTGTTACAATGGTATTTTCCAGTCAGGTAGATTGTTTGGGGTATAGGGCTGTAGACCTGGCCATTATATTGCCTTCATACTTTTTCAAATTTACTTTTTTTTAGAAGTTTCTAGTCTGGGCACTGCTTGTGTGCACACAAAGTGTTACGTGGGTTTTCTACAGTGGGGGACCCTTTTCAGTCACTGCGACACACCCCTTCTGATCCAAACTCTTACAGTCCTAAACTATAACCCTCCATCTTAACAATAATTACAGTTTTACCCTTCTGTTATGCTGAAAGACTTTACCAGAGCCTTACAGGTTGTTCCCTTTTGCTATTCCTAAAGATTTTTCTCAGTCTCACAGATAGACCTGGTGTTTTAATGCAAGTTTCACAGAACTTCATTTAAAACACCAGTCCTACTTGTGAGAATCAAATTTAAACACCTGTATAAACAAAGAATTAGCCTGTAACAGAAGTCCCAAAGGAAAATTTTTGAGGTAAAAGCATGCTTTCACCATGCACAAACAGAACATACAAAATTAAAGTCCTGCAAAAATGTAGATGGGCTCCTAACAATTTTTTTTTTTTTTTTTTTTTAATATAGCACTATAACCCTTTTGCATTTTCAGGAATAATGTATTTTAATCTCAAATTTTTTTCAAGATTCCCTTCATCCTAAAAGATGGACAATGTCTATTGTACAAACATGGACTTTCTAACACTTTGCATGTAGCTTTAGAGGACCTTAAGCCAGTGTTTTATAAACACCTCTCTTCCACCTCTGTGGTGTGATGTCTGTGAGACTCTGCCTTCTCCTGCCTTCAGAACTCCTGGGGGTCCCTGGTTTTGGCTGGGCAGGATAATTCCCTTAGAGCAGGTTGGCATCTTTGACCTGTTCACTTGAGCTTCATGTTGTTTAATAGTGGAGGTGATGATTCTGTCTTTCCAAATACTTCTGTACAGTGTAAATGTAATGTCTGTAGAAAATAGCACCTTTCTTTTTGTTGCATTGTTCAATAATGAGTACAAGTGCAAGTGTACTTTGCTGCTCTTCTGGTTTACCACAATCTCAGAACTGCTCTCTGAGCACTGATGAATTGATAAAGATGTTTCTCTTTGAAACTTTTGTGGTTTTAACTGAAAGAGAATGAAGTTGCTGCCTACAACCAAATCCAGCAATCCAGAGCTGTCAGAGTAGAAGCAAATTTAATCATTGAGTAAAGGCAAAAGTCTGAGGTTTGTACTGTAGAAAGATATTTTAATTTTTGGGAATTGTTTCTCTGCTACCCTGCTAGTGCCCATATTTACCTGGACTGCATACCCCTTACCTTTACTGTATCCCAAATTCTTGTCTTTCAGCATACTGTAGCCATCTCCTCCAAATAACATATAGGATGGCAGAGTCACGTTGTATATTTCATCCATCTGGAGTGGGACATAGGCTGGGACTCGGCAGGCTGTGCAAAGCACTTCTAAACTAACAACTCTGCTTCCTGGGGCTCTGGAGAGGTCATAGACCACGTGGATGCCTACAAAAATACACATTGGAATGCCACTTAATGCACTGCATGTTGAACACACAGGGCCAGAAGCAGTATTCTCCCTCATCTTCAGCTGGTTCTTTGCATTACTTTCTGTGACTGAGAGTTGTATCATTCTGAATTACACCAGCTAATGCCCTGTGGTCTTTTGCACACTTAACTTCTGTGCAAGAACATTCAAGAGAAATAAGGACTGCTGAAGCACTGTCCCGCCTCATTTACTTATGTGATGTGTGTTCTCATCACTGCTCCACAAAAGGAAATTACTAGTCATGGGATTGGAATACTGCAAGATAAAAATACCTTCCCTTATTTCTGTAGTCACATGCTTTCTCATTTCCCTGGCCTGTTGGCTGAAATGACTCTTTTTAGGGCCAGCCAGCCAGCCTAACTTGGTAGCTATTCTGGATAATAGGCACTGTCCTGAAGAAGGAAAGCCAGACCAGGGCTGTACTCTGCAGTGTCTCCTCACTGTAGGAGAAGCAATATTTCTCATTGTGAGCCTTCCTTGATCAAGGCCAGGGGAGAGCCAGGCCCCAGAACAGCACTGCCAAGAATCTGCAGATGAGAAAGCCACTAAAGGTCGTTCAAAGCGCTGAGGCTCTTCCAACCCTGGCGCTCTTCCTGCTCTGGATCTTCCATCCTGAACCCTTTCCAGAGCTACTGGTTTTCTTCTTTTTCTGTGAAGAGGCAGCAAGCAGAGCTTGTTCCTGTTTTACCTTAGAGGTACCTAAGAACATGGGAACATACCGGTGAAAGTGTGAGACACGGGTTGTGTCTGTGGCATGTGAGGGATCACATCACCAGGGTATATGGGATGAGAGGCATGGAGGGAGGGAATGCATCAGCCCCTGCCCTTGAAGTTTAGCTTTCTGCTAACTAAACAATAAAATCTGCACTAAATCACAGAGAGATCAGGAATAAACATGACTGTAACCTAATACACATCTGGATAAACATATAGGCAGATGCAATTAAAGATATGAGTAGGTTTTTGATATTAACTGTTCTTCCATAAAATACTTAGAAATTCATTGGAGCAATTCCATAGCCCAGTTGGACAAACTCTAAAACTGTCATCAGTCATCAGAGAATTGCACAAAATTATTTTGAAAAACTGAAATTCAGCACAGCTATCAAGTTTGGCGTTTCAGGTAGGCTGCCAGTTAAGAACTAAAAACTGTAGCTATTTCTGTGTTATAGCTGTACTAAATTATATTTTCCTCTGGTTAACTGCAATGTCAAACTGATGCCATTAGGGGTTCAGGGAGCTTTAGAACACTGTCTCTGCTGAAGGGAACAGCGATGGCCTGTGAGCTGCAGTGGCTTAATTAAACATACATGGGATAAACAGCATCTGCTGGCTGGCATGTGCGAGGCACAGGGCGAGGATGTATGGCCAGCTTGACATTCCAGTCTTAAAAAAAGGCTTCCAGATGTACTAAGGCCAACAGGAGGGATGGCTGTTTTGGAAAACTGAGAAGAGGAAAGAAGAAAATATACCTCCAACCTGCAGCAGCTCTCCACTTCCTTTTCCATATCTCCTCACACTGTGCTCAAAAGCTTCTTTCAGTGTGGAGCCTTTTAATGTCACCATATCAAAACGACCTCCAAATGGCAAAACAGACAGCAAATCTTCCACAGTAATGCTACCTGGGGGCAAGAGACTTTGTTCACTTCTTGGTTTAGGTTTGTTGTTGATGGGGGTTTTTTGTTTCTTTTTGCTGTTGTTTATAGAATTATTTTAAGATTGTTTCAAAACAAGTTTTTGAAATGGAACATTGCAAATACATGAAATACATACTAATACTTAGAGTTTAAGAAAATGAGGGCTGGTAGGGGTGAGAATCACATATATTGTCCCCAAGAGCCTGCATCTTTTATCGTCCAGCAGGTATCAAGACCAATAAATCAGAGTTTGATGTAACTGCACGTATTGGTATTAGAACAGAGCTACTAAAAGACATGAAAAACCAGCAACATAAGATGAAGAAACACAGCTATTCATACTGTCAGGCACTTTTTCCAGTTGATTGAGATTTACTCACATAGTGCTACTGAAAGACTTAATGAAACTGAGAAAGCTGTTTTCAGGTTGCATTTATGTGGTATCAGGAAAATAAAAACTAAAACCTTAGTATCCAGAAAAACCCAGAATTTACTTACTCTACAGCAGACTACAGAAGGCTCACAGTGACCATACCAGAGGACCCTGTACAGCAGGAGACCTTTCTTTCTTCCAAGGCAGCAAGGAGAGAGGGAAATTATAAAAAGCATTGTGTACAAACAATGCTAGAGATTTCTGTCAGTGTCAGCAGTTGTGCTCAAATGATGGACAACCTTTTGAGAAAGTTTGAAATCACTTCTAAACACTATGCAAACCCCATCAAAACAAGCCCATACCTAACACCATGCTCAGGCTGGCATAACTTGATTCCTTCCTTCTGATAAAGTTGTCATTCAGTTGGTAATTTTACGTACCATTAGTGCTTTGCTCATCAATGGGTGACCGTATCCCACCTCCATTCAGGATGCACATTGAAACATGGTTCCATGTCGTTTTATCCGGACTCCCAACATTCTCATAGAGCTACCAAAAGAAAATGTTTAAACATATTTTATCATATTTTATTTATTATTATTTTATCACATATTATAGGCTCTGGAAATTTACACCAAATACAATCTGAGACTGAAAAGAGACAGAAAGGTTTTATGTATTTATTATTTTTTTTTTACATAATCTTCAGCCCCATTGTAAAATGTTTAATTATTTAAAAAACCCAAACAAGTATTTTGCTTTATAAAATTCTTAACATGAAAAATATTTGCCTTTTAAAGTAATGAACTCTCAGGCTCTGCTCTAGTCTGTGTGTCTATGGCATGGCCAAGACAGGCCAGCTGAACAAAGGAAAAGTGATTTTTTTATTTCAATGACTGTGATAAAGACAAATTATTTAAGCATATTTGGGGAACTGAGAAGTGAAGAGGACCTTAAATACTGCTGTTCATGAAAATCTCTTTGGGAAAGCATAAATTAATTATTTTGCAGGGAATTAAGTTTTTTTCAGCTTCTCTGTGGATGGTTTTTAATATTTGGAATGGACTTGCGTAACTAGAAAGATGTAGAACAGTGGAAGAACAGGAAACAGGCGTACTAGATCAGAAAGTCTCCTCTGCAAAGCAATGTGTCCAAGGCTTTGACAACATACAAGGACAGGACAATATTTGCTTGTGACATCCTTGGTAGTACAGAAAATGGAGGACAGATATTTACTCAGTTGTTCAAGGATGATAAGCCCCCAGTGTTAATCCTCAGAAATAACTGGGTGGAATGGGAAAAGTCTGAAATGACCTAGGATAATAGAAAGAATGGACTAGTTTCTATACAGGAATGACTATGGCCATAACTCTCCAGTCTCACAGAGAGAAGCACATGACAGAAGCCTATAAAATGAAGAGGGACATGTGGAGGCTGGGTAGGAATTTGTGTCTTTTCTCATTTCAAGAATGATAAAAAATCTGAAAGATTTGAAGAGGGATGATGAGGATGATCAAAGACACAGAAAACTTCTGAATGTGGAATGATGATGTAGACTGTCTGACCTGATAAAGAGATAATGGGAGGAATTATTTGAGAATGCTATAAAATCATGAGTGGTGTGATGGTGGATGGGGAGCAAGTGCTCCAGAGCAAGGACCACTTGACCTCCAGCAGTTGTGCAGGCAGTGGGCAGCAGCAGGCTACACACTGACAAGAGCAAGGTCCCTGCAAGATGTGCAGGTCTGTGGTGGAACACCCTGCCACCAGCTGCTGGGAAGGCTGGGGGCAGGCAAAGGGTGGTGGAGCCGCTCTGCAGAAGCTAATCCTGCTGTATCCCTCCCCTTCTCACTACTGTTGTTTCTTACCCTCCCTGCATGTTCCAGTTGAGCCAGTAAATGTCCAGAGACCACTTCTGCCTTGAGAATGCCAGAGCTGCAAGCTGGTGGGAGACACCTGCAGATCTGAGCACAGCAACTCCACAGGCTTGTCCAGGACTATGTTCATCCCCTACCATCCCCATTCTGTCATTCTTGGAGACAAAACTTTGGGATGAATGATCCTGTCATCTGTTCCAGGTGGGTCACTTCTCTGCTGCACCCTCTGTGAAGTGTTTGTGACCTCTGACTTGCAGCTGTGTAAATGCTTTGTGTCTCCAGCTTAGTCATCAAAGTTATGCCCTGAGGCCAGATCCATGCTTAGGTTTGTAACTCATAATCAAAGGACTGCAGCTTCTCAGCCCTGAGCTGAGGCAGCTTAAAGGAGAAGTTCACACAGTGCTGTATCGATTTCACAGTCTTTTCACATCTGAGTCCCTTTAAAGTCCTTTGTAAAATGCCATCTAAGCCTGTCAACCTTTTATTCTGAGATTTTGGGCTACTGGTTAAGAAGCATCACTGAACTAAATGGACCTCTGTTTCGACCCAGCACAAACATTCAGTCTTCTGCAATTCTCAATCTCTCCATTTCTCAGGACAACTCTAAATATTAAAGCCTGTGGAACAGACAGGTCTATTTTTTACCTTTATACCTGACCACAGGGCAGCAGACAGGAAAGCAAGTATAGAACTGGCAAGGCAACGTGAAGAGAAATCTATGTCTCTATTGATGACTGCAGGTGATTGCCTAGAGACATTGAACTAAAATAGAATTTGACCTCCCTAAGAAAAAATGTATAGCAACAAAATCTACAGACTTCTGAAAGATTAGAGGGTTACTTTCTTTAAGCTTGAAAAGTGCCAAAGCATTTGTTCACATTTTTGCAAATAAAGATCCTAAAAAGTCTAGCAGAAAAAAAACAAAAAAGAAGATGCTGCAGTTCTAGAACTGTATGCAGAATTCCCAAACATTAATCTGATTTGAAAATTAGCCCATGAACTAGAGAATTATTTTAGGGACTACAACAAGAGCAATAAAGACTAGATAAATAGCTTTGGGGACATATCTAAGTCATGATTATTATATCTAAACTCATGATTATTAATTGTCCCCTAACTTTCCCTTTATGGGAAAGGTAATTTTCTGGGAACAGTCACATTAGTCAATGTTTTTCCCTGAAACACTTAAATGAAACTGTGCTGCTGCAGGGCAATAAAACAGTCAAACTAAGGAAGTTTAAAACTGAAAGTGACTTCTTGTAAAAAGACTTTTCTGGAGTTATGTGACTGTTGAAGCCCAGTAGTGCCTGTCAGAACACAGCAGGGGCTGGTGGCTCCTTCTGGGCTGGGGTGTTCTGTGCTCAGCTGGGTGTATGGCCTTTCCCACCCCTCCTTGCTTCAGCTGGCACCTTTTATGCTCTTCAGGGGGATGATTCTTGTCAGTAACTTGACAGAAAATTAAACAGATTTGTTTTCTGTGCCAGTGCACTGAAGTGACAGCAAAGCCCAGTGAGTAATGTGAGGACAGAAAGTGAGTGCTGTGAGCAGGGGCCAGTAGCAGGAGAGGGGCAGGGGAGCTGAGCTCTCCTCCTTGCTGGGCTCTTAGATGAGACTGCCATGTCCCTTAAAAGTGTAGCCTCCAAGCCATCTGTGAAAAAGCTGTTCTCCCTATGAGGCTATGCACAAAGAATAAACTGCTGCTTACTCTCTACAGAAACATTCCTTATAGCCTCACTTCTGCCAAGTTTTTCTAGGGACACACTGGATATTGCACTGTTGAAAAGCAGGCACAGAGCCCATGTGCTAATAATTTGGATCTGCATAGCTCTGGAGTAACCCTTAGATGTAATTGCCACCTGTAGTGGTGAAAACATCTTACCACAGCATCACAAAGCAAATTTCCCATGTTACATTCTTGGAAACGGCATGCTTGGCTTGTACCATTCAGGTAAACACTAGTTTTTCCAATCTCTTTAGAAAAATTCCCCAGGTTTTCTCTCCATTTTTCCACTTCTTCCTTAATGTGCTCATCTGTAAAGTAATATACAAGTGTAAAATAAACATCATATGTATCTCATATTAATGACATTTCAGTGAATACAGACCTTAGGAAAAGAAAAAGGTGTTCATGATTCTAAAAAGTTACATTTTCCTAAAAGCTCCTCAAGCAACTTGGCAACTCCATTCATCTCAATAAAAGCCTGTAAGCAGAGAAGGTAGGACAGGACAGTCAAGGGAATAAGCCAGTCCTGTGTCACAGCAAAGTTACCTCCTCTGCACTTTTGCCCAGTCCTGTTCTAACCTCAGACTGATGCGATTTCTAGTACCTTGGCAGGTGAAAGAATTGTTAAAATACAAGTGAGGTTGGTCTTTGAAGTAATTTTCTTTTTTTGTTGTTGTTTTTGTTTGTAATTTCCTCCCTTTAATATTGTGCTAAAAGGAAAAATAGCTCAAATATCAACATCAAGGAATAAACCCTTTATAGAAATTAATTCTCTATGCGCATCTGTCTCTTGAGTGAAAATTTAATAATTTCAGAAAAAAAAAACCAAAGATACTTGTATATACAGACAGATGTTACAACTATTTCATACCAGCTACTAGTTTTAATCTATTTGCTCACACCTGTCACCAAGAAAAACATTTATAAAAACATACCACCAATGTTTATGAATTTTAAGTTTTACTGACTTCAAAGGGAGAATGTAAAGTTTCTTTACATCACCTTGCTACATTAATAAGTCACTGAGAATAACACAGTAAATATCTATGAACAAATAATTTTTAAAGGATTTGTTTTACAAATACTCAGGTAGAACCTAGAAAATCTGATAAATGCTCAGAACTTCATACAGCAAACACTGGAGAAGAAACAGATTAGAAAACCAGCCCTGGGTAATTAAAGAACTGACAAAAAAAAAAAAGAGTTAACACAGCTCAGAAGGAGTTACAAACAAAAAGTGAGAGACTGTCCTCCCACTTCTTTAAATGTTTCAGAGTTAAAACCTTGAACACAGTTAGCACTGCATACAAAAACTCATGTGTTTGTACATTATAGTTGCACATTGGCAGAGTAGTTGGCAGGGTACTACAAGATTTTTCTGGAACATTTCCACTTCCCTATATTGCTCTAAACTCTGTTCTGAAGAATCCAGCCTCTGGCAAAACTGTAAATTAGTCATCATAATCTTTTAAATCACAATTACAGGACTAGCTAAAACAGGTTCTACAAAGTGATGAGGCATTGTATCACCTAAATTCTTACAAAAGGACTTTCAGGGATTTTAAATAAATAAAAACACACTCTGAATGCATGCATATTCAACTGTAACACAGGCTGAATGCTACACAGAAGAGAGCAGCAAGCTCAGAAAGAAAGCTGAGTTCCTATTCAGACATTGTATTTAACACAACAAGACTTTAATTGTAGCAGAGTGCTGCAGGCAAACTCAAATGCCTGGTCCACATACCTTCAGGAATACTGCTGTCCAGCAGAATGGGGTTTCCAACTGCTTCAACTACATTTCCTTTCTTGTCAAATGTAACATTTAAGTAACCAAGGTATTTTCCATAAGCATAAGCTTGTACAACTGGCACCTTCCTCCCATCATCTGATTCAACCATGAATGGATATGGGCCATCTGGCACTTCAGTAGAGGGTGGGGTGCCTGCACAGAACAAGCATGAGGAGTGGGTCTTCAGCTCATGTAACCTTCAAGGAGTTACTACAGTGACATTTGAAATGTTTCGCAGCCTTACAGAACCCAGATAGGATAGAAACAGCCATGACTGTATTGGACAACAAGCACATATTTTATTGTTCAGTTATCTCATAGGAGACAATGTTGTGTTCAGGACATGAACTCAAATAATTACCACAGTGTTTTTTAGCTTGTGACAGCACACTCCGCCATGACATCCCATCACAACAGCAACAATGCAACTTTTCATTCCAATTATTGCAATCTAAACCCCTCAGTAATGCAAACATACCAGCTACTGGGTGAAAAGTTTGTTGTTGAGATTTCATACTACATTATTCTGCATCAGATAGAAAATAAGAATCTTAGTAAAATATACATCAGACTCCTTGATCTGCAAAAGTCTAACACATTTTTACTGTTAATAATCAGATAGAACACCTACTAACAGTTCTGTGAATTTGTACATACAGCCAGCTCTTTTTTTTTCACTATACCAAACAGCCTCTAAAATTTCAGACAGACTGCAAACCCTCTGCAAAAACAAACTTCATTAGGATTAAAGTTGTGTGGTCATGGATGTAAAACTCCTATCAACCTGCAAAGTCTGAAAGGTGACTAGAGGTAGGACTTGGAAATGGATTAAAGCAGGCCACTGTCAGAAAAAAAGAGACAGCTCAATTGGCATAGGCTACCACAGGATTTAAAAATGACACAGGGGCAGAAAGTGGCAAAGAAAACTGGAACTGCACAGCACAGCTCTTGCCTCAAGGGTGCCAGCCTTCTCCATGTCTCCTCGACGTTATCTGAGTAGTGACATTATCTGAGTAGTATCTTTCACTGCTGTTATTCCTGTCATTATTTCTGCCCCACTGTCAGAGCAAGGCTGGGTAGCTCCAAGAGCCATCATGTGCTGTGTGACAGAGCTCCCTCAGAGCCTGCTCCTTACTCCTGTGCCAAAGGCAGCAGCATTTCCCATCCATGTACTGGTGGGCACTGGCCTGCTCGCAAGGCAGGGGCACAGGGGAGCAGGTGCAGAGGACGTGGTTCCTGAGAAAAGCAGCCTCTTAACTTCCACAGCTCACAGAACAACTTGTTTCCTTCCATTTGCAGTTGTTTACATAATATTAAATCCTAGAATAAGCAGCATGATAAATATTTCTTCTAGAACTCCAATACCATTCATATTCCTCTCTAATCCCTCCTATTTCTCCAGGGAGAAGAGCTGTAACGAACTGCAGAGTGAACCAAACTTACCACAGAACTAGCTTTTCTACTTTCAGTTAGACCAACAGAGTTAGTTTCTTGGAATGCCACTTAACTATCCATTTATTTGAGGAAGAATTTAAGAAATCTTGTCACTAATGAGGACTACCCAGGATTTATTCATGCAAAAGTGGCTTTGGGATTTTCTGAACTGAAAAAGGAATCAGTTTTGATTTCTTATCCCCATTTAGTCCTCAAATGAACACAGCATTAGAAAGATAAAGTTATTATTTCTAGGCATTGTTTTAATTTATATCAGCTGTGTGTAGTTAAGTGCTTGTCCAGAGTCTTACTCATTTCTTGCTTTCTAACGAAATACTTTCTGATACTGATACTTCCTTGCAGGATTAATTAGCACTATGACATCTTTCCCTTGTAAGATAGATATGTTCCTTCTGAAATGCAAAGACTATCCAGTGCATCTCACCACAAAGAACACAGCACTAGAATTCATGCTCAGTCACGGGATGAGATGCTGTTTCATTACAAATGCACAAACTCATACTGGGTGACTGAAGAACATGTAACACTTCCCTATTTCTTACCCTGTTTTAGCCAACACACTACACTTTCAGAACATCAGTTCTGATGAAAACTAGGAAGTAAACTGCCCTAACCCAAAACTATCACTGCTGCTTTAATCAGTTCTACAAACCAAAAGCATACCTGAACATGTCAGGACAATATTTGCCTTATAACCTGTGGACAAACTGGAGATTGGCAAATATCTTAGAGACAGGTTGGACTAGTCCAAGATGAAACCCTTACACTAAGATTTCTCTGTGGACATGTCTTCATGGACAGCATGTTTCTAAATCTCCATGACAAAGCAGGCTGAACAGCTCATATGTCTCAATTTAGACTGAGCTGAAACATTCTTCCAGATTCTGCTGACAGTTATTAAATCTCTTGATTTAAATGAGAGCCTATACAAGCTTAGTATATGCATCAAGAAATACAGAAAAGACATTTCAAATCAGATGTTTTACTCTGCAGTGAAATCACCTCCACAGGTGCGGTTGTTCCTCTGGGAATTTTGGCTGATGGCTTTGACTCAGCAGGGCATGGTGCATAAACGCACTCATGATTAGCTGAGATTTTTAATCTGAAGGCTGCAGAGTCTCCTGCAGTGAATCTTGGACACCTTGGCCTTGTGAATCTTGGACACCTTCAAATGGGGAGGGGTGGAACAACTTGACATAGACTAGTCTGACAGCAGGGTACTCTAGTCAGGGATGACTAGAGGTGTGCTTGCAGACTCCCACAGATCTAGACAGGATATGAACTCAGATGTCTCAGCTCCTGCAGCACTTCACAACAGGATTTCAAATTGGGACAAGTGGATCATACCCAAAAAGGTATTTTGATTACTGTGGCTACCACAATGAGGCACAAACTTTCTATAGACATTGGCCAACAAGACTGTGCAAGAGAATATGGATTCCACTGTGTAATCCACAATGAATGCACACCTTGAATATGGAATCCATCCTTGTTTTTCCCATCTCAAAAAAAATTCAGTAAAACTGCAGGCTGCACCCCAAGACAAGACCAAGGTTCCTGTGGGTTGTGCAGGTCAGTGTTGGAATGCCCTGCTATAGGCTGTTGTGCAAGTTGAAGGTAGTCAAGTGGAGATGGAGCCAGTAAATATCAAGACACCTCTTCTGGCTTGGGGAGTCCCTGAGCTGCAAGCTGCAGGGAAACATGGGCAGAGCTGAGTAAAGTGTCTCCACAGGTTCATCCAGTCCCCTCAACCCTCCCCCTTGGTCACTCTTAGACACATGGTGTTGGGATGGTCTATCCTGTTGTTCCAGTTTCATTACTTCTCTGCTGCACCCCTTCCTAATGTGTTTGTAAGCTCTGACTCAGTTGAGTCTTTGTGCCTCCAGATTAGTCATCAAAGTTATCCCCTGAGGCCAAATTCAAGAGATATTCTGATCTACCTAATGTGTAACTGTGGCATGCAATTGTTTCTTTTTAACAAGTGAGATAAAATGAGGTGTGAGTCCAGGTAAGATAAAAAGGGCATGAGAAACAGAGAGGAGATGAATAGGGAGAGGATGATGGAAAATGCAAACCTTTTAAGTGGTCAAGTTCCTAGGGTAGGGTACATAATACTATCCTTTTGAATAGGGCACACAGGAAACTTTTCTAAAAATTACAGAAAGCTCCCACTATAGTCTCAACCAGTTATTAAAGTTTCTGCTAAATTTAAAGAACTTAAAAAATTCAGTCAAACAGACCAACAAAACAGCCTCTCTTTTACTTGGGTCCTTACACTCTGGGGAAGGTAACAGCACTGGGGAAGCTGCTGATGGTAGGTGTTGCCTAAAGTAGCATTACTGCAGGAGAAAACAGATCAGCAATGTTTGTTTCTAGAATGACATCTGCCTCTAAAGAAAAGAAGAATAAAGTCAGAGATTAAAAGAGGGATTGAAATAAACATATGAAACTTGGGGAAAGTATTTTAATGGCAAGCTAAATTGAGACCTATGAATATGGAATCAGATTACAGAGAAAATCAACAGCAGTAGCAGTTTTGAAGTCCTTTATGATGGATTTTTTTGGTTACGTCATACACATGTTTAAAAGTAGACAATTAATTTACTCTTTTGAGGTGTGAGCTTGAAAGAAGTACAGTAGCAGTAATTTACCAGTATTACTACCTTTGTTCCTCTTCCCCACATTGCATAGGTCACCTTGAACATCCACAGCATTATGGAACCTCTCAGTGAGCTGTGGTACTTGGTGTGCACGGGCTGTTTTGAATCGGTTTCTTCCATGGAAGTTATGGACATGTACCAGCTATGAGCCTGGCTGAGTGCAGCCAGCAGTAAACTATACTGGTGAAAGTTCTCTGAGTTTAAAGATGAACAGTTTCAACTTAGCTTTAGAAGCAACATTTTAGTAAGAAGTAAAATACCTGTATAGAGAAATGTGTTTGTATGTCCTCCAATCACAACATCCACTCCTTTCACTTTTTGGGCAATATTTTGGTCCACGGTAAAACCAGAATGTCCTAGTGCAATTATTTTGTTCACTCCCATAGCAGTAAGTTTATTCACTTGCAGTTGCAGTGCTTCAATTTCGTCTTCAAAGGTTACATCATCCCCTTAAAAAAACAAAAAAAGATGAAAAAAATTTTCTTACAAAGTACTTTAATTGCTAGTTAAAAATAAAGAAGTTGACATCAGATATTAGTTTGTATAATTAAAAGGACTTTGCATGGCGGTGCCTTTCAAATATCTGGTTCAAGCTCTTGATCTGAGCTGATGTTTTTCAGTCTCTCAGGAGCACCTCTGTGCTTAGACTAATACAACATTTCTGCAACAAGCTGTATGTACTTCCCTAGATGAAAAAAAGTTATAACTCCATAAAAAAAATAATTCACATCAATAGTAGGATCAAAAATTGAATGGCTTTTATTATGTAACTAGAGAAAGGAAACTAAATGTATCAGTGTTTGCATATAAACACTTGTATTCTATTACAAAGAGTTTTTTAATTCCCCAACTGTATTTCTTTGAGATCATCTATATTCTCCCAAGTTAAATCTCCCTTTTTACTGCACACTCATCTTGTTCTTTCCTTTATCCCCCTCTCCCCAGTGCTTTAAACAGCAGCTTCTTCAAAGTCCTCCATGAAACTCTGAATTGCCTTTTTATACAAATTAACTGACCTAATGTGAACCACTCTCAGTAATACCAATACAGCACAGGACACATCTGAGATACTCTCAGTAATACCAATACAGCACAGGACACATCTGAGATACTATTCTGAAACAACAATGTAAGGAATGGAAATTCTGGAGAGGAGAAACCTTTTCTGGACAAGGATGTTGGGAAACTGACAATCCTTCTGCAAGCTTTCTGTGCCTGCTGAAATTACTCTAACGTGCCAAACAGTTACACGAACACTGGAATAACAGGCATTTTTATCCGGGGCACAGTGGTTGGGGTTGCACAAAAGGACTTCCTATGTAAGAGGATACTGACAAAGTTTTAAGAACAGAGTTTAAGGACAAATTCAACCAACTGTAAACTTAGACTTTCTGGTGAAGACAACCAAGTGACTTTTCTACCAGTTCCTCCTCTACCTAATTCCTTCCTGCAGAGTTCTGTGATCAGATCATTTTGAAGAATGCCTTTAAAGTAGAAAGATTTACGTTATTTCATAACAAAGGGAGGAGTGAAACGAATTCACAATCCACTGCAAAATGTTTCAGGAAATGAGGAGGAAGCTGCTACAATAGAAGAGATAAAAGAGGGTTACATAAATTGGTTCAGCACCACACCCATTCAATAGTTCTGTTAGTGCCAGAAGGAATCTCTGTAGTGCACATTGCAGAGTGAATTGTGCAGTGCCTACCCACATTTTCTTCCTGTGGACCTCTTCTCAGAATCAAAGAGCCAGAAGTTAATTGAGGTTGGAAGAGACCTCCAGGAGCCATGTAATCCAAAACCCACTCAAAGCAGGAACTGAAAGCCAAATGAGGATGCTCAGGGTCTAGTCTGAGCTGGATGAAATTCCAGTCTCTCTGGACAACCTGTTTAATGACTTACCATGCTTACCATGACAAATTTTTTCCTTAAGCCCCCATAATTTCCTTTGTTACTGCTTGACCCCATTGTTTCTCTTTCACTTCTGGGAAGTGTCTGTCCCTGTCTTCTCTATAAATTCCCTTACACCACTGGAAGACTGCACTTGGTTCCCCTCTTAGCCTTCTTCTCCAGGCTGAAGGAAGCCACTGGCTTCAGCCCCTCCTTGCACATCCTTGCATTTGACAGCAGCTGGCCTGATACAGAGCTGCTGGCAGAAAGGGAAGTGCAAGAATTGATCCCTGAGTGCAGGCTCTTCTCGTACTCCTCTCACCACCATGGACCAGCTGCACCCCAATGGTGTGGGGAGCAGTTCTGCAAAGAGAGCTGAGCTCTTAAAACAGACCAGGAACAAGCCACTGATGAGCTGTGCCAGCATGCAGGTGCCTGTGGGCTAACTTCTCCATGGCCAGTAGCCAGGTGGTCCATGACAACCAAACTCTCCCCATCAGCACCAGCTCTGTTATCCCTCCACGCCACTGCAGTCTACAAATGTGCTGTACATTGAAGACACATTATTATTAGTCTTCAACCCACAGAATCATAGAATCTTTTAGGCTGGAAAGTGCCTCTAAGATCAATGAGTCCAACCATTAACCAACACTGCCAAGTCCACCACTGAACTGTGTCCCTAAGTACCACATCTACACCTCAAGGGATGGTGACTCCAGCACTTCCTTGGGTAAGTTCCAGCACTGTTCCAGTGCTTGACAACCTTTTCCAAGAAGAATTTTTTCCAAAAATCCAATGTAAACCTCCCCTGGCAAAACTTTGAGGGCATTTCTTCTTGACCTGTCATTTGTTATTTAGGAGGACACAGTTCCCCACCTTGCTACACCCTTCTTTCAGGTAGCTGTAGAGAAAAGGTATCAAAACAAACCAACCCACTTTCATAATGAGGGAAAAAACAAGGCCTATCCCATGCAGGTAAGCCCATCCCTCTCCCAGGACTGTTAAGTTAGGACAGGCAGACACCAGAGCTCAGGTGGGTCATCTCACTGCCAATCCACCCATCCGATTGTCTGATCTCGTCTTGTCTGCTTTGTCCTCAGAAAGGGAATTCTGCTTGGGACTGCAGGGGTTTCTTTCACCCCTTCTCCATGGCCTAGCCATTGCACTGCACACAGCTTGGCACCCTCGTCATCTGAGTATTGGGTGTAGGTGGGATGAAAGGTTTGAGAAGTTATACAGGCTACAGCCAGCACGTTTGAAAGTTATACAGTGGGGGACTGTAAGAGCAGTGTTCAACTCCCTAAGAAACCAGGCAAGAAGCAATATACTGCTTAGTAGTCCTCTGGGCATTGTTCAAAACAATCTGAATCAAAATTACTAACTTGTTGCTCATGTCAATATTTCACTTCTCTTTCAGGGTATTAAACTGATGTGGCATCTTCTCTTTTTAGATGAGGTGGAGTTTCAGAAAAAACAGCCATACTGCTACAACTGAACTAGGAGAAGAACTGTCTGCCTGTTAAAAATATTACTCAAGATAGCCAGAGTAAAGTGGAAAAAATGCAATTTTAAAATCCATTTCAGAAAACTCTTCCAAGTTGATAATTTCAGTAAATATTTTGCTGCCTGCAGGGTTACAAAGTCAGTTTGGATTTACACCTTACACAAAAATACAGTAGACCTAACAACATTACGGAACTAAAGCAAGTGGGCTGGAACCATCAAATAGTAGAAAGATGGCCTTGTGATTATCAGTTCAAAGTAAATACACAGATAACTGTGCACCAAGTTATGAGCAACTCTTGCAAGACATGGAAAAACCTGCTGACCTCACTCAGCTGAGATAGCTGTACATAGCAAAACAGAGAACTCCAGAAAAACTGGCTGTAAACTATAAATGTGTTCCCCATCCCTATGGTTTCCAAACAGTGACATTAAGAGTACCTTCAGCAGAGATTAGTTGGTCCCTGCCAATGGAAACACTGAGATTTAAGGACTTCATACTCTGTTCAAGTCTTTTGATAACCTTTTTTAAGCAGACTATGGAAAGCACAAGTTGTAATTTCATAGCTGGGTGGAAGTTATTGAGATTTAACAATAGAAGAAATCACACTCACAAAACATTTCCACAGAAGTCAGTAATGTAGGAATTCACGTTTCAGCATTCTCAAGCTTCCTGTTTGCCTTGAGAATGCCCTAAGAGTATAAAATAAAGCATGCCAAAGCACACAGAGGCAGAGAAAACGGAATCATCTGGAAGAAATGTGTAGAGATAAGCAAGGTGCTGAATTTAACATTTGCAAGGTCCCTTATTAATAGAATATAAGGAACTAGGGCAATAATTATTTAGCCACCGACACATGTCTGCCATGGTTTTACCAGTCTGAAGGTTTGCTAGTTCATGGGCAGTATATAGTCACTGAGTTATATTAGCATGCCCTGAGTTCACATCTTCAAAGCTTCTAAATGTTCCTCCACACACCAAGAAGGCAAAGCAGAAAACTATAAAAACTCTGATCGCTATAAATGCTGCTGTTAGAATTTGCTCTGCTTTTTGTGCAGTTACACCGTGGGATATACTTCCTCAGGGATGCTTCAGCTCCATCTATGGAGCTAACAAGACTTCCCTTTTAACACTGCTTTTTTATCTAGCTGTGGTCTCTTACAATGTCTCAGCATACTGAGACATTGGATATGATGTCTAAATGTTATTGGAAATATGTTTGAATGCTTCATACAATCATTCCAGCACTATCTGGATTTTCTGGATTTTCACCTAGTGTATTTATTTGCAAGAAAGTTGCTTTGATGACCTCGCTGCCCCAGCACAGGAGTTTGGAAGAAGAGCAGCAGCGGATTTCATTAATCCCTAACAGAGGACAATATTGATTGTCATTATTCAAACTTAGCACGACGTCTGGTGATATCTACCTTCACGCTCTCAGGCACAGGAAAAATTCTACTACCTACACAAAACACAGATCAATTTTCTTTTTTTGGGGGGGGAAAAAAAGACAGGAATCCAAAACCTTAACACTGCAAAACAGAAGTGAGATCAATAAGTCTATTCAGACCTCAGATGTCCGTTCTTGACAGGTTAAACATACAACACTGGAATTAAAAAACACAGAAGGAATAGTTCTATGTTCTAATACTTCCTCAAAGTATTGAATATTCCTTTTGTCAGGAAAACAATGCACTACTTCTGTATTACTAAGCAATAGAAAGAGAAATATTAATACGAAATCCACTTTCAATGTGAAAGTGTTTTAAACCAGCGCTTAGAGCATCCCTAACTGCAAAACCAAGGGAAGAAACTCTGTTTTAGTTACATGTAGACTGAATTCTGAGCAGGCAGTGACTCATATCTCCTACAGCTGATTTAAATGTGTTTCTCATTCCAGCAAAACATTTTATTTTACTAAAAAAACCAAACCCAAACAAAACCCTCATCAAACCAAACCCCCTGAAATGCTGGAAAAAATAGGCTGAAATTGAGAAGCCTTTTTCCTCATAAATTCTAATTTTACTCATGAATGAAGCAATTGTGGTAAAAGCTGAATGGGTGTTCCTTCTGTAGTCTAATTTCTGTAAATATTTTGAGAGGCTAAAAACATCTTGGGCAACTTTTGCTTCAAAAACAAGTATGAACCTCTCCTTGTTTTTGGGCATGGAGGCATCCAAGAACAAAATTTCAACACACAGAGAAATATCATACTTCACGCTAGAGATAAGTTGTATTCATGTTTTAACTTTTTTTTAAATGGATAAATAAAATAAAATGGAATATAAATTAAATATAATGAAAATCATAAATCATGAAATATTGTAAATAAAATATCATGGACTATAACTTTAAAAACCCAAGCAAGAATGAAATTCCTAGCAGCCTCTGAGCTCTCCTGCAATCTCACTGAATTTCTGATATTCTTAGATATGGTCCAGGTCAGTATGAACAAGGGTTTTAATGTTAGCAAGCCTTTTTAAGGATAAAAATCAGGCAAAGTTGAGTAATACAAGTAAATACTGATAAAACAAGAGACTTCCCACTTTCCAGCTGAAAACATTCATCTTTGGATTTAAAAAAGGTAGGCAAATAACAAAAGTAGTAACAAAGGACATAAACTTACATACTAAAGAAAACATACCTGGCTGTGAAAGAAAAGACGTTTCCTTTGTAGTGTAGCCAACAATTCCAACTGATTCTGAGTCAAAATGAACTATTTTAAAAGGATGAACATATCTCATCATTTCGTTCGCTAATGGAGTTTTCCCTTTAATATTTGCACTCAGGACTGTAAAATTCGCATTTTTAAGAAGAGGATCCAATAATCCGCTCACACCTTCATCAAACTCATGGTTACCCAAAGCCTGCAAAAAGCAAGAAGAAAATATGAGACCCTACCTCAAATATTCAGTGTAAATAGTCTCATATACATGGTGTGTTTGAGAAAACAAAGTCTACATTCTATGAAAGAAAACCCTAACTTGCCTAAACCAACACATTCCTGTTTCTCATGAACACAGAAGTGGTTGGGTTATTTTTCTTTTTAGATGTAGGTTTTTGTTTTTCAGACTCTCTTACATGGTGAAACAGATGTGAAAATACTGAAGAAAACAAATATTTTCATTGATATCTAGCATTTTCTTCAAATAAAAAGTACATTTTAAGAGCTTTGTGCTTGGACTACAGTTTTTGAAACATTCTTATGCTGCACTTAGTAAAGATTCTTCTGTGCTTTAACATCCAACAAGAAAATATCATTTTCTATCCGCCATCAATATAATTTCTTGCCTATGGAAGATCTAGTGTTTATCAATGAGGGAGAGTCCCCAGAGCCAATCCCCAGAGGGCGTGTGCGCTCACAGGTGGGTGTGCACTTAACACAGTGAAGTGTCAAGACTGCTACACAAAACGAGCAGTACAATTTATTATCAAGGTAATTCCAGCCAGATAAGAATGTTTGGTTTTCCCAGGCTGGTTAAGCAGATGAAAAGGGACTTACCTCGAGGGAAATTTCTCCTACCTGCCCCTTTTTCATGCTCAGCCTAAATTGCCACATGCCTGTGCCTGCAAGTTTGGTGATAAGCCAGCAAAACCTCCATAGATGGCATTTTACAGAAGCACAACAAACGAAAGGACTTTGTAGCATATTTAAGTATTAGGCAAGGAAAAGATGTATCCACAGAAACACAATAATTGTGTAACCCAGTACATAATAAATTTATGCAAGGTTTCAGGTTGCAGCTGGAGCAAAGCACATAAGAGGTATCAAAGCCAATGGGCCAACTCTTCCCAGCAAAACTGTGCTCTTAATTTCATTCTGAGATTAAGTGGGGAAAGCTGCATTCACCATCTCAGAAGGTTTATGTACCCTTCTGTTCTACTTAAACCACCCACACACCCAACTGTGCTTGCCCCAATGTTTATTCTCCAAATGGATGTACTACCCCTGATCATGTTCCAAACCAAGCAGAACCTTGAGGCCACCACAGGTTTGGGAGCTCAGTATTTCAATCAATTAATTGGCAGTGTCTTTCTTTTCGGACAAAGATTCCCGACTCCTTTTATCATGACTCCCCAGGCACCCAGTCAATGGCTCTGTGGAAATTTCAGGATATCAGCAGTAACTTGCATTGGAAATCAGCTGTTCTGCTGACTCTGGTGAGAACACTACACACGCTCCCAGGAAGGAGCCAAATTGTTTGTGTGCAGCACTTTTCCAAAAGAACCAAGAACTATCTTTGAAAAAATCCTGACTTGGGAAGACACAATGCACTCCTAACTTCTAACTGTATTCTAATTGCAATCTAATTTGGTAAAATTACCAATCTAATTGGTAAAAAAATACCAATCAAGATTAAAAAAAAAATTAAGACATTCATCTTGATGCTGTCTGGATATTCTGAAGAGATATATATCTGTGGACTGGTAGAGTATATCAGAATGGTAAAAAGCTCTTTCCTTTTGGCTAGCGCACATGCCTTCTGTTCCTCCTAAATATGCAATTAAACCTCAACAAAAGAGGTTTCAAATGAACTAAGAAATTGAATTGGATATAACTGCCACCAGCTTGTTGGGGGGGGAAAAAACCCAAAATCCTAACCCAACCAACCAGTTAGGAAAGATTGTTTCTCTTGGCTTTGTGTCTTGCATTTGGATTATTTCATGTCCATTAGGACACTAGCTTTAATCAAAACTTTTCCCATGGTGTGGGTGGTTACAAAGTTGTTAATGAGAAATCACTGGTGGCTAATAATAGTTTTATTTTTGATGCTACTCCTCCTCTGAGGAGGAAGATGTGGACTATTTTGGGTTCCTATACCTAACTGCCCTTACACCCAGAGCTCCTGGGACTTCCCACCTGTGCAAAATCCCTTCACCAAATCTGAATCTGTTGGCCAGCGTAAGTCACAAGAGGGAATAAACAGAAATATTCAGCCACAGAGCATGTGATTATATAATCTTCTTTTTCACAAAGCGCAAGTCTAAAAGTGTTTCAAAAATCAGGATACAAATTAACAGGAGGATGTGGCTTAGAAGTAAAGCTAGAAGACTTCCATCACCTCTCCAATTATTGCCTTTGAGATATTTAAATTGGATTTGAATCTTAATTACACCAGAAAAAAAGGCTGGTGCCATAAATTTTTTTGGAAGGCAATGAAACAGGAGAAAACAGACTGGGGGTGATAACAGGTATAAATGAGAAAAAGGTAAACTTAAAAAAAAAATTCTCCTATTTGTGGAGAAAACCTCTAATGCTTCCAGGCTATCCCAAATCCTCCTATGGCTCCTGCCCGCATCCTGTAACAACTTCCATGACTCATGCTCTCTCCTTCATCCTGTTTGTAATCCTAGCGCTGTAGCTCACTTCTAAACATTTCAGTAACCCCCACCCCTTCTGTCAGGGATGCGACTTCCCAAATTTTGTTTAAAGAAACACTACCTCACCCTTCTCAGTGCGGCTCTTACCTTGCTCCCTGTGCCCCCACCCAGCCACCATCCCCACTGCATGCCCCCCCTTCCCCCCGCCAAGGTCCACAGACAGAAGAATAGAAACAGACTCGGCATCTGCTCCTCAAGCTTTTTGGTAGCAGAGAAAGACTGAGAAGCTACAGAACGTTTAGCACCTACCCTGTCACCTTCTATTCAAATTATAAAAAGCAGCACCTCCACAGAGAGCAAGTGGCTGACTACTTCGCCTAAGGCATTCACATCTGGTAAAAGCCTCTGGATATCTGGTATGGGGTGGGTTTATTTTAAAAGTTTATTCTGGTGGAAAAGCACATGGTATCTCCAAAACCAGGTGCTTCCTACATAACTTGTTTCTAAAACTGAACAGTACTTCAGCACTGCCTGAAAAAATTACTTGTGATATAATCAGGAGCTGTACAGGCTCGCAGGCTGCCCATGAACTAGTTATACCAGCAAGCACAAGACTGAAAAATGACAGACAGCAGAAAGCTTTGTGAAAAAGCTAGGAAAAAACCGCCTCAAGCTATTTTTGCACTGCAGAATCCCAAGGCACTTCCCAGCTCTTAGTGAGGACGAGTCCTGAATGTACACACTCCTCTCCACCACCATCGGGAGGAAACACCCTGTTAATGTTAGTTTCACAACTAGAAAACCGTTCACTAGGGCATCTGGACAGGGAGAAGTATCCCCCACAGATCTGTCTGGTGCTTAGCCTAAAAAAGTGCATTGGTCCACAGCTGTCCTGGGGCAGAGGGAATACACAGGTGAAGGCACTTTTACCTGGAAAGGAAAGCACAGTCCTTTCCAGACAAAGCAAAAAAGATGAAGATAGAGAATGTGATACGCCCAGAAGATTTTCCCCTCAAGCTCACCGTTGGGATGAAATAAATATCCAATCGCTGTCACAACAGCAGTCATGCTCAAACATGACTTTAATCTCTCTCCTTTCCGGGGTTGTACACAAGCAAAATAAGCCACTGCCTTGAGACAAAAGATTTAAGGACATGGAGTGACATCCCCCAGTCTCAGCCACAAATTCTGCCTTTCTCTCAGCACTTGCACGACCAAAAGAGGCAGAGTAAAGGTGCACGATTAGCACAATCTCAGAGACCTTCCTCACTACACAGCCTCTTATATACTCTGTCATGACCACAGCTCTGAGGGGACTGGACACAACCAGGGTGGGATTGATGAAAACTAAAAACCTCCACCCTAAAAACATCACTGTCAACCTGTGCCATCTGTTCCCTGCAGGAACGAAGCAGGACAGGCTGCGAGCCTCAGGCAGTTTGCTCCTCTGTCGCAGACCACACTCTTTGTCCGGCTTTTGCTGGGGTCCCCTCCATGGCTTGCCAACTCCTCTCCAACAGAGCCCGTCCAGCCCCCTGCCCGCCCCCAGCCCCTGCATCTGCC